AATCAAATGTATATATTTTTTAAATCTCATTGAGTTTATTGGTACTTTTTAAGTATACAGTACAGTTATATTTATCATTGGGATCTTGTATCCTGACATGACACATCTTGATTCTCATTTTGTCTCCATACCTCTGCCCTCCCTTCACCCCCTCCAACCTCCTTTGTTTGTATTTTGAGACAAGGTCTTGCTATGTAGTTCCAGCTGTCCTTGAACTCACTATATAGCCCATGCTGGGTTCGTACTTGTGGCAGTCCTCTTGCCTCAGCCTCCTGAGTGCTGAGCTGGCAGGCATGCACCACCTCACCCAAAGTAAAGTGGCTATATTTTGAATGGAGGAGGAAGGAAGGTAAAACTTGCTGAATGCCTTGAAAGGTAAAGCTTGCTGAATGCCTTGAAAGGTTTAATGTGAAGTATGAGAGAAAGAGCAAACTATAAAACAAAAGATTTTAGCCTAAGCAACTGGAGTGAAATAAGGGGGTCTGTAGGTAGACCACGTTCAGAAGAACAGTTGGGTGTTCAGCTTTGAACATGCTGATTTGTAGATGTCTGTTAGTCACTCGAGTGGAGATGTCAAGTTAGCAGTTGTCTATACAGCTTTGGAGTGTAGGAGTGTGGTCTACATAGGATGTATGAAATTGAGAGGTGGCATATAATTGATTTTTAAAACCATGAGACTGAGCAAGGTGTCTAATCCATGCACTTGGGAGGCTGAGACAAGAGGATCACAAACTGAAGGCCAGCCTGGTGTGCATAGTGAGTTCCAGGGCAGCCTGAACTATATGGTATGGTGAGACCCCACCACCACATAAACAAAGCAAGCCATGAGGCTGGGTGAGGCCACCAAGAGAGTGATCTCCCTATTGCCTGGAATCTGTGAATAGCTGTATTCTAGGTCTCCTCACTCTGTCCACCATATCTCTTACACACTCTTTCAGCTTCCATCTCTTCATTTTACCTGTGCTGATTTCTAGGTAATTTCCTCAGAATCACCTTCCAGGTCACAAATTCTCTCTTTCACTGTTTCTAGTTTGTTATTTTAATTTTTAGACCACTTCTCATTCCTAGAATTTCTGAGGTTTTTTTTTTTAACTACAGTCTTTTTTTATAGCCTCTCACTTTTCTTTCTTTTCTTTTTTTTTTATTATCATTGAGAATTTATGTGGATTTTTTATTTCTTTTCTTTTTTTTTCTTTTTTTTTTTGGCGGGGGTATCAGGGGGTCAAACTCGGCACCTTGTGCTTGTGAGGCAGGCAGCAGCACCACTGAGCTAAGTCCCTGGCCTGATTTTTTTTAGATTTTATGAAGGAGTTGAATGAAAGTTTCCAAGTTGTACATATTTTACAAAAATAGATAATAAGCATGTACATCACCTCACTAAGCCATGTGGTATATACGCTTCCCTAGACCCGTGGTGGTGGACCTTGTAGAGCTTTCAGATGAGATCGGGCACATTCAGGATGGTTTGACCATAGAACCTTTTAGAGCGTTCAGTGATAACAAAGAGCTGGCTGTGGCACACATGCCATAGGTTTGCCACTGTAAGACCTAAAGTCTCACTCTGAGGAGCATGAACAGCTGGAAAGGCCTTCATGATGCTGGGACCTATAGCTCAGTGAGGCTCCGGGAGCTCAACAAACAGCAAGAGTCACCCAGGAAGGAACACATCAGGCTAGGTGGAAAACAGACCTTTATTAGTCTTGGCCAATGGCACTCGTGGAGCCAAGGGGCTGGCTCAGAGAGGCACCAGCTCAGGGGCTGAGGTCCTTTTTATAGGGGGGTAAAAAAGTGGGGTTAACATTCTAAGCTTGCAGGCAGGGGACAAAAGTTAATGGTCTGCTGATTTGAGCTGGTGGTCAGCAGTCACATACTTGGCAGTCACACATTGATGATTAACAGATACCTATAGGATGTTTCAAAGGCCACCAAGACATTCAGGATGAGCAAACAGTTCGACAATTAACTTGGGGTCTCTATGTATGGTACAGATTTTATCTCATAGTCCAGAACCACTAACTTACATGTTAATCATGATCCAGACTTCAAAAAGTACAAGATTGCCTTACATTCCTAAGCCAGGCTACAATGGGAAAGTTTTAGAGCACTAGCTCCTAGGCCCCTTTTACTTTGGTCTCACAGCCACCACTATCCTAGACCAAACAGCATAAGGACAGCAAAACTCTAGCTTGGTTTCATCCTCTTGAAGGTATGTAAATGCTTCTGGAAGAAGTTCAAGAAAAGGAGGACACACCCCTCCTTTGATTAACCTTATGCCCTAGAATAATTCCTTCTCACAACCTTACTAACATGCTGCAGAACCCGAACTGAAAACCAGAGGGAACAGGACATGCCCTTTCTGTGCATCTCCATGGCCCATCACAATGGTAGGAGGGAGAGTCAGTCTCAGGTGTGCACAAGAGTTGCCCCTGGCACGATGTCCCAACACTGCCTGTCTCCAGGCTTGATGGAAGCAGGCTCCTCCTGGACCTGGGGTTAATAACTACATTCCTAGAGCTAGAAGAGAAAAGAAATAGAAAAATGTGACTGACTGGCAGCGAGAGGGAACTGCAGAGAGACCCTTGTGGTCTGACATAAGTAAAGTTCCCGGTTTTCAGTGGCTCCTTTGAGGACAGAATCTCTCCTGATGAAAGACTTCCGCTAGCCACTCTTTGCCCAAATGATATACACAGCCATGCCTGGGAGTGATGGAGCCCCCATGAAATTGTAACAGCTGGACCCTCCTACCACCTCGTGACCTTGGCCATCACAGCGTCACAGCTCACACGTCTGTAGTGACACTGGGGCCAGCTGTACACAAGTACAGTGCACTCAACTGTGTGCATGTAACGCTTGGAAATGATAACAAATGAGGGTGTTTACATATTTACTGTGCTGTTTCATCCTTTTACACTGCATCCGTCTATGTATATATAAAAGGTTTGCTGTCAAATAGCATGTCGTGTTCTACCAACAGCAGCTTCTGCCGGTGTCTCCACCTGCCACCCAAATGGGTGTGCACACAGCTAGCAGCAGCACGGGCCACCAAGGCCTGGCCAGGCCCAGCTGCAGACTTCCTGGGAAAATTCTCATTTTTTTCAATTCATTTTTTTTCTTTTGAGCCAGTCTCATTATGTTACCCATGGTGGGCTTGAACTTATGATCTTCCAGTCTTAGCCTCCTGAGTAGCTGGGGTGACAGATATGGGTGACTATGCTCAGCTCTCCTTTGTGTGTGTGTGTATACATTTATGTGTACATTTTAATTTGCTTATATATGTGTACATATTGTATAATCTTGCTTTGGTAACATTTTAAATTCTCGTAAGTCTTTCTCCTTTTATGATGTGTTCATGATGGTAGGTTGTTTCTGTTTTTTGTTTTATATTTCTGCAGTACTGAGGATTGAACCCAGGGACTTCTCACTGAGCTGCATCCCAGTCCTTTCCTTTTTATTTCTTTTCCTCTTTTTTTTTTTTTTTTGAGACTGAGTCTTTCTAAATTGCCTGTGCTGGGCTCAAAAATCTCCTGTCTCAGCATCCCATAGTGCTGGAACTACAGATGTGTACTCCATACCTGACTTCTCTGTGTGTTTAATCTTTGAAAGCTCGTATTTAATAGGACTTTGTGGATTTCGTGGCTGGGTTAGAGGCATATGCAGTTGATTCGTAAAATTTTATTCTACTAAGTGTTACAGAGTTATCACAAGCCAGGGATAATCTTTTTTTTTTTTTTTTTCTGGGGATTGAATTCAGGACCTTGCATTTGGGAGGCAGACGGCAGCACTATGGAGCTAAATCCCTGGCCTGCTGGGGATAATCTTGATGCTAATTCCTCAGCATGGTATCCCCTGGACCACACAGTATGAGTCCTGTACATGGCTGCAAACTCTCATGGAACCTGTTCGCCCTAATCCCTGGCATGGAAGAACTTTCCACAGTTTACCTCCTCACCAAGGAGGAGGCGTTTAGAGGAGTGCCTCTTCATGCTGGGAGTCTTCTTTCCAGCTGCCTAACTGGCCTGGGCCAAAGTCTCATTTCTCACACTTGTGCAGACACGAATGCTCAAGTGCAGCAGACTATTCACACACCTTCTCTCCAGCCTACCAGCCACAGCCAGTTCACTTGCTTACCGCTCTGGTTTTCAATTCTTTGTCTCAAGTTCCTGCCTTCCTTTTTTGGAGGTGGGGTTGATTTAATGAGACAAACAGGGTCTCATTATGTAGCCCAGGCACAGCCTCAGCTGGCCTGGAACTCTTCGCCTGCCTGAGCCCCCAGAGGCGGGGATTATAAACACCAGCTTCAATTCCTTCTTCTCCTTCTCCTCCTCTTCCTCCTCTTCCTCTTTTTTGTATTTTGAGATAGGGTCTTGCTGTGTAGATCAGGCTGGCCTTGAACTTGCAGCAATCTTCCTGCTTCAGCCTCCCAAATGTTGGGATTACAGGTGTGCACCACCACACCTGGACAGTTCCTTCTTTATTACACACTTAATTTTTTTTTTTTTTCTTTTTTTTTGGTACCAGGGATCAAACTTGGGTCCCTGTGCTTGTGAGGCAGGCAGTGGAACCACTGAGCTAAACCCCCGGCCCTACAAACTTAATTTTACATTTACAAAAAAATATGTGTCAGAGATCTAGATTAAAAAAAGGTATACATACTCATTTTTTAAAAAAATACTATACTAAAGCTTGGGCCTAGTTTGAGTTTAGGGACTTATGAGACCTTTCCTTAAGAAAAAAATTAAAAGAGCTGGTATGTATGTAGCCCAATGTGAAAACCCTGGGATGGAGCCCCAGTACTGGAAAAAGCCAGCCTTTCTGTAGCAGGAATGTGTTTGGGTTATCTCCTCTGTCCCATCCCTTCAGATGCAATTTGTTTGAGTTTTTTTGTTGTTGTTGTTTTTGTTTTGAGACAGGGTCTGTCTCACTATGTAGTTGAGACTGACCTGGAACTCACTATATAGTCCAGGCTGGTCTTGAACTCACAGCAATCCTCCTGTCTCAGCCTCCCGAGTGCTGGGATTACAAGCGTGAGCCACCACGCCCAGCCTTTCAGATGCAATTTGGATGGTTGAATCAGCCCAGAAGAGGCAGTCTTCTGGAATGACAAGCCTAGTGATCCCATGCCTTCTACCTTCCTGTCCTGAGAAGTGGACAGTGATGTCCTCAGCATGATCCCTGTTTATTTCCGTGGCTCCACCCACCCTGATAATCACTTGTTTTAGTTAGTGCAGACTGATGGGAGAGGTCTGTGTGATGACAGGTGAACCCGAGACAGCAGCCAGCACCGGCTGCCATTACAAGGCCCAGCTGGACCTAGCTGCAAGTCTCAGGCCTGCTCAGGACTCTGAAGGACAGGATGTCCAGCAAGGCCAGGCCTCGCCGGCCACTGCTAGGAACTGGAGGGAAGAGAGATTGAGACTCTACAAACAACTGCTCACTGTGGTCCTAACAGAGAGAAGATATAACCCTATTTTCTATGCCCCATTTCCTGAAAAATCCCTCAAAGACCTAAGAACCCCAAATAGTCCTAGGAAGGGTAGAAGCAGCAAGGAAGGGAAGCAATCAGGACCTTTGGCCCAGAGTCTCCGAGAGCTGTTTGAGGACCATAGTCAGTTTGGGGGAAAAGTGGTGGGACAGGAATGGGAAAGCCCTCTCGTTTTACAAAACCCACGCCCGTCTGCTCACTGATGGGTGAAGGACAGATCATGGGGTTATTCAGCTGAACCTTTCACCACGTGCAACCCCCTTGCCAGATGGCCTACAGCTGAGAGGTTCTCGCTACTAATTTCACGCCAGGACTGTTCTCATTTCAAGCCTCTTCTTATTTTAGATGACAATTTGCCTTTCAGACATTTCCACCTTTTGGTAAACTGCCTGCTCCTGATTGGTAACGTGTGTCCCTAGCTGGCATTTGGGGGCCACACCAAATATGTCCCCTTGCTCCCCTTCCATGTAGCAACCTCTCCTCACCCCAGAAGACTGGGCTCCTTCATGCTTTCCCCATATAAAGTGGTCCTTGAGCTAGATGTCACCCACCAGCTGTGACCTGGGATCTTCTCTCTCACAGCGTCCCACAATAGGGCTGCCAGGTGACCAGGGCCTCTTCTTGTTCCCAATCCCAGCAGCATGGAGGGCTTGTGGAGGACGTCACATGGATGGAGCATTCAGAGAGGGCTCCAGGCCAAGGCCCTGCCCCCAAAGAACAGAAGTGGGCAAGAGAGGAAAGACTCCAAGGTAACTTTTCAGGAAAGATTCCTGAAACTTCTCACTTGGTGGAGACCACAATTCCCAACCTAGGATGCTTCCGAAACCCCTAGAAACCTGCACTTTGTCCTCAGAGCAAAGCAGTTATTAAGCTCTTTTCCTTTTGTATGACCAAGCGCAGAGCTACATCTGAGAACTTGAACAAAGAACAGCGTCTCCTCTTCCTTGCTCAGCCTCAGCAGTCACCCCTTTTCCTATCCAGGGTAACCTGGCCTGTGTCCCTTGTGTTTATCTGCAGTCACACACTGAGATGGAGCAAACAGGAGGAAGACAGAGAAAGACTCTGACGCTTAGGCCACACGTGTGCTGGGGAAGGAGGGCAGGTGCTCCAGACACTGCTCACCCGCTGCCTGGCATGTGGACCTCATTCCTCTCCAGGGTCACTGCCCAGAGCAGGTCCTATGCTGGTTGCCAAGGCAGGAGAGTCTGCTGCTGCCTTCCCTGGCTTAGGACACAGACACAATGCCCCTAGAGATGACCCGGGGGTACCATGGGACGCAGGGAGCTTCAGACCAAGCACTCCCCCGGGCATCCATCTGGGAGAGGAAAGAGGCTGCAGAGGGAGAAAGGCTGCTGGCTGAGCTACTCTTTTGCTTCCTACTGGAAACTCAGTTCTAACCCCTCTGGTACGTAGGGAAGAATGTCCTTTCAGATAGGAAATGAAACACAGTTCTTCAATTAGCACTAAAAAGTCCAAACTAGAAAGTAATTTTATCCTGTCTGTGCATGTAAGACAATGAATCAAAACTGAACGTATTCGGTGGAGGTGAGCAAGGGTGTGTCCTGGAGGATGCTCTTCCCGGCACGGCACGGCAGGAGGCAGTAGCTCCCAGCAGGTGGTTCAGCAGCTCCACTACAGCAGGTTAGAGTTGAGGGAACCTCAACTCCAGGGACTGGTGATGAGACTATTTTCTGTGAGCCTGCTGGAGGCCCATCATGGTTTTCAAGTAATTTTGCTGACAAAGAAAAGGAGAGCGAACAGGAACTGATCAGGAGGTACGGAGTTAACAGGGACTGAGAAACCACAGGCCCCAGACATTCATCTTGCCGTTCTTACATTCACTACACAAATACAGAGAGAGAGAGAGGCCACCATGACAGATTCAATAAAATAGGAAGAGGGCCAGGGATTTGGCTCAGTGGTTCTACGACCTGCCTCTTAAGCGCAAGGATCCGAGTTCAATCCCTGGTACCAAAAAATAAATAAATAAAATAGGAAGATTTTTTACCTTGAAAAATCTAATCCAATATATTTCATAGATGAGTAAATAAATCCATGACAGTTTAAATGGTTTAAGTACAACATGGCATAAAATACTCATGGCCTTGGCAATTTAGCAACTTAACAAGACCCTGACTCAAAATAAAAACAACTTAAAAGGGGACACATATACCTCAATAGAAGGTCTGGGCTCAATCCCTAGTATTGCAAATAAAGTAAAACAAATAAAAAGCTAGTGCGTAGGCATGTCTGAAACTAAAAACTGACTATATGGACAGTTCATCTAGAGAATGTAGAGGTGGTGTGAGAACAGAATTGTGACCTGTAAAAACACAAGGTCCTTAATCTAATGATTCTGAGTTTTTTTAAAAGTCTAAGAATTTGAAAGCAACTAAAGAAAACACAAAATTTGTCTGGGATATCAAGAAATTCATAATAGTGTGATAGAATGAAAATAATTTTGATTCACATTTAATGATTTCTATAATCTTGAAATAGCCTGTGCTAGTTAGTTACAATAAAACTTTTGAAGCTCTTTGTACATAGCCACAGCCGTCTTATCCTTTTATTCAAAACACAGAATGACATTCCCCTCACCCCCTGCCGTGGTACTGGGGACTGAACCCAAGATCTTCGCACTAAGCTATACGCCCAGTCCTATTTTATTTTTTGTGGTTTTTAAAATTTAGAGACAGGGTCTCATTAAATTGCTAAATTGCCCAGGCTGGACTTAAAACTTGCATTTCTCCTGCCTCAGCCTGCCAGAGTGCTGGGATTTTAGGCACGCACCACCAAACCCATTTAGAATGATATCAACTAAATTAACCACACCAGTAATTAGACAAAGCAACATCATGTGTTTCCTTATACATTGCACCAAGAAAAATATATTCTGCCAAACTCATAACTTGAAGTTTTGGGGTGGGTGCGGGGGTGAGACAAGTCTAATGCGGCCCAGGCGGTCTCAACCTTGCGCGATCTTCCTGCCTCAGCCTCCAGTGCTACCATTACGGGTGTGTGCCACCATGCCCAGCTTCACAGCTTGAATTTAAACAGTAAGAAAACATCAGACAAACCCAAATGGAGCGGTATCCTACCAAATACTGTCCTAAATTCTTCAAACATATCAAAACTATGAATAAAGGGAAAGACTAAAGAATTGTTCCAAATCAAAGGAGACATGGCAATTAAATGTACTATGTGGCAAGATTTCCTAGCCTCTGCAGAAGACAGGTAGAAGTTATTAAATAAATGTTGACTATCTACTATGAAAAAATGCAATATGTGATCTTGGACCAGAACAAGAGGGGAAAATTGCTGTAAAGGACATCACTGGAATAGTGAAAAATTGGGCTGGGTGTGGTAGCACATACCTGTAATCCTAGCACTTGGGGAGGCTGAGGTAAGAGAATCAAAAGACTAAGCCCAGTCTGGGCACCTTATCAACTTAGCAAGACCCTGTCTCAAAAAATTAAGAAAGGAGCTAAGGGTTTAGTTCAGTGGTTCTAACACCTGCCTTGCAAACACAAGTTCCCAAGTTCAATCCCCAATACAAAAATAAATAAATACATAAATAAAAATAAAAAATAGAAAAGGTCTTGGGATCTAGCTTAATGTGAAGGCCTTGGGTTCAATCTCCAGCACCACCACCAAAAAAAAAAAAAAAAAAGATGAATATAGACTTTGTAATATGTGCTGCTGAAGCGAGCACTGAATGTAGACTTTGGATTAAATAATATTATTGCATCCTTGATAATTTTCCTGATTTAATATTTTGTTTTTGGTACCAGGGATCAAACTCAAGGTGCACAATTTAATGCCAGCCTGGGCAGTTTAGCAACTTAGAAGAACCCTGTCTTGAGATAAAATAGTAAAAAATGGTTTAGGGATGGCACTCAGCACTCCCTGGGTTCAATCCCCAGCACCCCCTCAACACAGAGATGAGTTAAACACGTTTTTATAAATCCTCATATGGGGTACAATTGTGAAGATGTCAAAAAGAACACAGCAACCAGGCATGGTAGCCTGTAATCCCAGCACTTGGGAGGCTGAGGCAGGAGGATCTCTGTGAGTTTGAGACCAGCCTGGGCTACATAGTGAGTTCCAGGTCAGTCTCAACTACATAGTGAGACTCTATCTCAAAAAACAAAACAAAAACAAAAAAGGAATACAGCAGCCCAATACAGGTCAGCATGGAGTGGTCATCAGGATGCATTGCTGAGTAGAAAAGGCAAGAGGCAGAACAATGTGCAGGTGATGCTAGGATCAAGACACAGCGAGCTAGGGGATTTAGCTCAGTGGTATGGCTGCCTGTCTGCACCTTTCACACTTTTTAAATAAATATTTAAAGCATCTGCAGATATCACCTTTTGAAAATGTAAATAAATAACAAAAAGCAACTTTTGTGGGGGACAGAATCTTACTATATTGTCCAGGCTGGCCTCAAACTCCTGGGCTTAAGTGATCTTCCTGCTTCAGCCTCCCAAGTACAGTAACAGAGACTATCGGCATGTTCTATCATGCCTAGTTTACAAAAAATATTTTAAAAGAATGAGCTAACTCGGGCAGTTTCTTGAGTGTACCTGCTGTATAAAACCTGCCTCTGAGCTGGCACACATGGCCCTGTGGGTTCTGGCTCCAGGCTGGACAGGTGAAGAGTCTGCTCCACTGCACCTGCTCAGGGAGGAGTCAGACCCACCTGTGGCTCTGCCTTGCTGCATGTGGTCCTCAGTCCCTCATCCCCAAATCTGGGCCTTGTTCTCAGCTGGGAACCACACGTGGCACAAGCCCGGCCAGGACAGCAGACCCCAGTCCATCTCCCTGGGCTAGCACCACTCAGCCCCCACCTCTGTAAAGCAGGTGTGAGATCCCCCAGGCCCTGCGCTCTCAGGATATGAACCTTCTAAATTACCTTCTGCTCTGTTTTGGCTTTGGCGTTGACGAAGGAGATGGACTCAGGCTCCTCGGGCAGGACTGTCTGCTGGAGCTGGGTGAACCTGTCCTGCTCATCTTCTCCCTGGGGGAGGCCCAAGCCAGGACGGTCCTGTCATCCTGACCTTGTCAGGATCTGCACACAACATCTCATAATCCTGCAGTCCCTGAGTCTCTCAGGACCCTCACACCTCCCTGGAGCATCGACCCAGGCAGGACAAGGGACGCTGCCACTGGCCTGTGTTCACCCCTTACTGTGCCGTGGCCCTACCCTTGTGTTGCTCACCAGCGATACGATCCTGTTGACAGGCACCATGCCTGGTCGGATGCTGCTGCCCAGCCTCAGTGCCACCTGCGTGTCCTCGGGGACAACAAAGGACTCATTGTACCAGATGTCAAATTCTGTTGGGAGGAGGGAGACGGGACTGTAAGGTGTGGGGAGCCCCACGGAGGAGGTAGATAAGGGCCGTGCCCGCCTGGCCTGTACCTGCTGCAGGCTCCCCCTGTCCACCTCCTGCTGCGGGGTTTCCCACCCTCTTTTCCATCTTCACCCCTTACCACCCTGGAAACCACACACCCGAAGCCCTGTCCAGCCTCTGCCCCTGCCCTGAGCAGCTCTTGGACAGGTCTCAACAGATCTCAGGCTGTGGCCTTTCCCGTGCTCTCTTGGCCCCCGGCCTGCGCACCCATGAGCAGGCGCTGGCGACACTGATCCACCAGGCGCTGGCAGTACTGGATCTCGGCCCTGAGGTCACGCAGGTCCTGGTACTCGCAGCGGTACTGCTTCTTGAGGTCTTTGAGCTTCAGGATCAGCAGGAATTCTTCCTCGTCGATGATCATCAGCCCCTTGTTCTCGTACTCACCTGCAGGGGGGCAGGGAGGAGGTCAGAATGAGGCGGCAGCTCCTGGGGTAGACAGAGGACTGGAGGCTGGGCAGCATAGGCCAGGAGGTGGGTAAAGCACAAGAAGGCCAGGCTGCCAGGGCCTGTCCATAGGGAGGGGAGCTCAGCACGTGGGACCCTGTTGGCATTTTAGGGTAAATGAGAGGTGGGTAGGGAGAGGGTAGAGATGGCCCATATGTCATGTTTACTTTGGTGTTAAGCCTAATTGCCAGTGATATTCATTTATTTGGGTCTTTTTGTTTACTTTTTTTGTTCACTATGCAAATCAGGCTGCCCTTGAATTTAGGAGGCCTTGAACTCCTGCCTCAGCCTCCCAAGTGGTGGAACTTCGGGCCTGTACCACCACGCCCAGCCTTAGCCAAATATATTTAATAAGCACCCTGTTATATGAATGTTTATTTTTCATATAAATTATACTCATGAAGCCAGGTTGTGGTGGCTTGTAGTCCTAGTACTAAGAATGCTGAGGTAGGAGGATCGCTGTGAGTTTGAGACCAGCCTGAACTACATAGTGAGACCCTATCTCAAATGTCCCCCTAAAAAATTATACACATGGCAGCCATCACTGGATAGTAAACTAAAGCCCTTGCACAGGGTTCCTTATTAATAATAGTGGAGGGCCGGGGATTTAGCTCAGGGGTTCCAGCACCTACCTTGCAAATGCAAGGACCCGAGTTTGATCCCCGGTACCAAAAAAAAAAAAACAGTTGATATGAAACTTTTGAGCTAAAAACAATCTTTATATTGATAGATATAATTTTTAAAATATTTAACATATATATTTCCTTTTCCTGTCATCCTTTGGAAATGTCTGTTTTCAGGTGTACTTAGGAATAAATGCCATGTCAGCAGAGCATGCATGCATTTTATTTACACGAGACTTTTTTTTTCTTGGTACTGGGGATTGATCTCAGCACCTTACGCTTGCGAAGCTGATGCCACACCACTTGCCTGGATTCCTCTTTTCCCAGGCTCTTGGAGGGCTCTGCCCTCTGGAGTAGCACACTGTGGTTGTCTGAAGGGTATGAGTACAATAGAAATAAAGGCATCCTCTGAGAAACAGGTAAGAGTGTGTGATGGTCCATCCGACCTGTGAGAACAAACCGTGTGATGCAGGCGCTCACGGGTACAGTGGGTCGGGACCTGGGCTGTGAGTTGGCAGGGCAGGTCCAGTAACCTGCGGGGCCCTGACAGGAAGAGGAAACGACAGGGAGCCAGGAAGGCCTTCCCCGAGCCTTCTTCGCAGTCACTCAGTAAAATGCAGGCTTGGGGCCCCGGTCAGCAGGGCCTTCCAGGCTTCCCAGAGTACTCTGCTGCCTCAGGCTTGGCCCACGTTGTGGGTGTTGGCAGTGTACAACCCTGGCTCACAACAACAGGGTCAGCAGCAGTGTGGTTTCAAGCCTGGGGCACCCATGCTGCCTGCCCTAGGAGAAAGGCTGTCAGGCCAGCACAGGTGACAGGGGTCGGAAGGGGCAATGGTCACACTGACAGTGAGTCCCTAGGCCCTCTGGTGGCCACACGCTGGCTCCCCAAGTTTCTCACCATCCCTGTCAGCGTCTGATCCACTGGGCGGGGAGGCGACCTTGTAGGGGCTGCCAGCCACCTATGTCCTGGGGACACCTCTGTAGGACCAAAAGCCAGTTATTCTATAGACAGCAGAACACATCAGATGAAGACCAGCACCCAGGTCTGAGATAATGCGGGAACAGAGGACATGGACAGAGGCAGGCTGGCAGTGGCCCCCTGAGTGCTGACAGAGCCAAGTGATATGGCCTCGGGGTGAAGGCTGCACCCCAATGCTTCCTGCTGGCCCCCTGGGAGCAGGACGACCCTGATTCCCTACAGCCACCTGCCCTGATCGTCTTCCCAGAAGCTTCACCTTGCTTCTCCCTTAGCAACTTCTGGAAGTTCAGGGCCTCCTTGGTCACATCAATCTCCCGCTTGATGGCATTGATGCGCTGTGTGGTCTCACTGGCCCTTTTTCTTCGTTCATTCAGGATGGATTTGTTTTCTTTGAAGATGCGGTTGATCTCACTACCTCGCTCATTCTTGAAATCCTCAAAGGCCACAGTCCTGGAGGGAGGGGTGCTGGGCCTGGGGACACAGGGAAAGGCCAAGGAGAAGAAAGAAACGGGGGGCAGCCTCGGAAGTGATGGGTACTTCATTTGTCTTCCTAGGGGCTCCTGTGGGCAGGAGGCCAAAGTCCTAGGGGTCACTACCCAGGCTGGAGCAAAGCACCCATCATTCCCTCATCTTGCCTTTACTTAGCCCACAAGGCCCCAGGCTGATTGCAGAAAACGAGGAATGCAAAGATAAAAAAACAACACAAACACACACGCACACACACACACTATCAGCAAACATACTTTGTATCTCCATGTGGGATTTCTTTGATACATTTTTGAATGGCTGAGCCCACGCAGTACATCCAATCTTACATCTTACTTTTGCACAGAGGCATCCTTTCATGCTATCACACTCGGAGGATTCTCATTCTGTGACGTGAGATGAAGCACCGGGCTGACAGGAAGTGGACTGATGTTGGGAACTCACTTTGAAATGCATCGAGACATTTAGAGGGGCAGACAGAAGACAAAAAACGTGTAACAGCAAGTGTGCTGTAGAACTGTGCTTCATGTGTGGATATTCACTGCACAACGCTAACTTCTCTGAATATCCGGAAGTATTCATGGGCTGGGGAATCAACCCTCGCACAATCAAAGGTCACAGATACTTAATGCCCTTTCCTTTTTTGGTACCAGGGATCAAACTCGGGACCTTTCACTTGTGAGGTGTGAGGCAGGTAGTAGAACCACTGGGCCAAATTCCCAGTCCCTTAATGTCCTTTCCCTAATGACGCCTATTGAAGGTATAAATGTTTTTTATTTTTTATTTTTTTCTTTTTGAGAGAGAGTATCACCATGTAGTTGAGGCTGGCCTGCAACTCACTATGTAGCCCAGGCTGGACTTGAACTCATGGTTCTCCTCCTGACTCAGCCTCTCAAATTTAATTTTTAAATTCATGATGCAGTGAATATCTGTTTTGGTACAAATCGTGTCTGCACATCTGTTTCCTTAGAATGGATTCCCAAAAAACTCAATTACTGACTCACTAGGGAGATGAATGGAGTAAAAGGGAAGAGCTGAAAATGTGCTACCTTCAATACCTTATTCCTGTAAAAAACATAACTTATGGCTGTGAGTTCAAGACCAGCCTGCGCTACGTAGTGAGTTCCAGGTCAGTCAGTCTCAACTATATAGACCCCATCTCAAAAAACCAAAACCAAGAAAAAAAAAAAAGTAAAGGACATATAACATTATTTTAGTAATCGCCGCGTGGTCTAAAGCGATTCCATAATGAATTATGCATCTCAGGTAAACCCCTCAGTTGGACCATTTTGCACGTGTCAGTCATCTCTGGACTTATGCTGAGCCTTGCCCTGACCCCCTATCTTTCTCTTCTGTCTGCAAGCATGATTGAACATTGAGGATCACACTCTGGTGTGGCTTGATCTGGTGCTGAGTGATCTATAAATGCTTACCTGGCTAGGCAGACTTCCTCCTTCGGGGAGCCTGAGGTTGGAGGCTCGATGCTGAGGGTTTCCCTCTCCAGAGAAAGCATGACCTTGACATCGCCATCCTTGCCAGGTGGGACCAGCTGGGTCTTGGAGGTTGAGATCACATCCAGATCCTTACCACTCACAGGGCTGCTGGCACCTTCCTTTCTCAATGAAACGCTAGAAGGAGGAGGAAAGGGGCCCCAGCACTCAGTCACGGGCAGTGAGGTGGATGTCCTTGCCAGGCACCCGCCCCTCTCTGCTCTTATCTTCTTCTTTTGGCTTTGGTTTGGTTTTGTTGGTGATATGGGGCCTTGTGCACGCTAGACAAGCCCCCACCACTGCCACCTGCTATCTCATCACACCCTTGGGCAGATTGCGACTTTAAGCCATGCAAATAGGAAAGAAGAGAGCATTTCTCTCCCTGCATCACACAGGGGTCCCTCCGAAGTGTTGGTGGACCCCTGGGCAGCAGGGCGCAGTCTCAGCTTCAAACATATGGCCCTGCGGGAAGGTATACAGGCTCTCAGTTGCACTGGTGTCCCTGGGAAGGCCTAGCAGAGCCCTGCCCAGCAGGGGATCTGCCTGTGGCCCAGGGGTAAAACAGGACAAATCTGCCAGGGGGCTGTGACCAGTCTGTGTCCTGTGCTGCTCACATGCACCAGTGCCACCTCAGCTCCTGGAAAAGCCAGCTGTGCTCCTTCTCCCCTTTCTGCCTCAGGACTGAACTGACAAAAGGTTGCCCACAGTTCTTTGGGCTATTTGCTCCTCCTCTGGTCACCAGTGTGACTCAGGGGACCAGGTCAAAGCTTGCCACTGCCCTGACTGCATGGCAGTTGAACAGAGAGGCCTGGATGTGACTGGCCTTCCTGAGCAAGCAGGGGGCAGCTAAGTCACTAGCATCTTCTGCCACCTGACTCCTGCCAGCCCGTGATGGTTTTCTTCAGGCCACTTTGGCCCACGTTCAGAGAGAGACAGCATTCATCACGTATCCTCACGACAAACCCAGCAACTCTGAGGCCGTCATCATCAGTCGTTTTAGCAACATGGGAACAGGCACAAGCGGTTTTCACATCCCACACAAGTCGATCCCTTGGGTGTTAGAGGTGCAGAGCAGAGAGGAGGGCCCAGTCTCCATCCAAAGCCTATACCCTTGTCTCCTGCTATGCAGCACTGCCTTTGGGGCTCTGGGGGTGTGGTGTGCTGTGTGGGCACTCATTAAGGGAAACTTGCACACATGAGAAGTCATGCCTGAAAGGTGACCTGGGGACAGGGACTCTGCAGTGCTGCCCAGGTCCTCCCTGCAACCGCACCCCTCAGCAGTCATGTGATCCTGAGAAGAGACTTCCCCGCTCAGAGCTCCAGGTCCTTCATTGACCATGCTGACATCTCCCACCGCACAGGGCTGCTATGAGTGTGAGAGGACCCACAAAATTGAACACTGGCAGCAGGGACGTCCACTGTGGCCACACAGTAGTGGGAACACTGGGGGGCGGTAAACAGCGTGTGTCTGCTCTCCCACCCACCAAGGAGGCAGAGCAGGGACATTGCTCACCTCAGCTCTTTGAATGTCTTCTTGGCCTTGGATTTCTTCACAGGCTTGGCAGAGAAAGGGATGACCCCGAGTCCAAAGCCATGTCCATCGGACTCACCGACTAGGTGGCCATCAGCATCCACAAGCCCTGCCTGGATAGGGAAGCCGGTCAAAGGGGCACAGGTGAGATGAAAGGTTTGAGACCCCCAGGTCCCAAATGTATATGGTGTATGTCTGGGGTGGGTACCTCATGTGCCGAGACTTGGCTGCTCCCAGTGCCTCGGGAGAGCTGTCCCTGACCTTCCTAGCAAATGCTCACTTTCCACATCACTTCCCTACTCAGCCATCCCAGAGGATCCTAAGGTCTAATTCCAGGACAGGTCCTATTATTGTTAGCCACATCTCCAGTTCATGGAAAGCACTTTCAGTTCCAAGGGGGTTTGCTCACACTCATCCAGGTGTTACCTGTACTGGAGCAGTGCCAGCTCTGGTCTGACCTATGACACTTGCTGCCTCTGCAGAGGGCTGAGGATGGAGAATCTGGGGTGAGTGTTGTTAGTGAGAGGCAACCGTGTGTACCTTCTGGACGGCAGAAATGGTTGCAAAGTCGTTCTTGTCTATGAGGGTGTACTTCCGGCGTAAGGCAGACTCCACTTCCTGTTCTTGTTGGCTGGGGAGATAGGGAGAGAACACTTTGTACTGCAGGTCATTCTGAACCCAGGGGGCAAGAATCAGCTCTGGGATTAGAGGTCTTTTGGGTGAGGCCCCTCAGAATCCTGCGGCCAGCTTCAGTGACACCACCCAGCATGAGCTATCCAGGCCACGCGTTTATGTTCACCCAAATAAACCTCCCATGTCCGGGGTGGGGAAGCTTCATGATGTCCTGCTCTGGAAACACACACAGGGCTGGCGCTCCATGGACTTCCTGTCCTGCTGATAGACCCAGGAAGCCCCGGGGACCAGGGCACCCTCCTAGGACTTGGATCTAGTGCCTTGCTTGGGAGAGAGAAAGGGGTGCTCTCAGGGGCAAGTGTCCAGAATACCGGAAGTGAAAGTGGCAGCCTGAAGAAGGGGTGGGGGGTCCCTCACCTCAGAACCACTCGGAACTGGTTGAAAACCTCCTGGATCTGTCTGAGGTTGATTATCTGGAATGAAGACAGCGAGGCAGGGATCAGACCGCAGGCACAGAGGCAAGAAGCTGCGCCTGTTAGCAGGGGTGGGGCCCTCTGGAGAGTGGGACATCTGCAGACCACGGCTCAGCAAAATGGCAGCTGAGCCTTCTCAAGAGCAGAGAAACATCTGATTGATAGCTTTCAAATAAAATATTTGCTGCGGCTATTAAAACCACTCTTTCTACGTGGAAATCACTAGTTCTCAGAAATACTTTCTAAGATAAAAAATTGCATAGACTCCATTTCACTGGCTCGCTCCTGCTCCTAAAAGTTCAGCCTGCCACCTTCATTCAGATGGGCCCCCTTCGTGAGCCTGTCTGTGAGCACAGACACACTCAGCTATAGCTAGAAAATGGTCGCTGGCCTCCCTTGGCCCCAGAGCCTACACGCATTGCCCTTGATGGTGGGCCCGAGTGCGAGTCCCTGCTAGGAAGGCCTCTGAGCCCGCAGTCCCAGTTGGTCTGAGCCTGACTCTCCTGGCTGCCCTGCTAACAGGCAGAGCAGGGCTGACCCACACAGCTTGCTGGCCGCACAGAAAAGCATTTTCTCCCTGAGTACCCCTCCTCCACCTACTCCAGCGTGGGCCCTGGGGTCTTCCTTGCAACCAGCCTGGCCTCTTCCCTTCTGCAGCTGCACCCCACCAGGCTGCCCTGTGAATCCAGCAGTTCCACCGCACAGATGAGGATGCAACCCTCAGCCTCATAACTCCAAATACAGAAGCTGAGACTGGGGTGGCTAAAGGCCCCTGACATCAGGGGCCCAGCGCTACCCCACAGCCACAGTTCCCACTCTGCATGAGCTTTCCATCAGCCGCACACATGCTGAGTGTGCCCAGGATGGCGACCAAGAGCCCCAGGCCAGCTGAACGAGGGGGTCCTCAGAGGGCTCCTTACGTCGATCTCGTCCAGGGTCCCTTCCAGGTACCTCCGCACCTGGGAGTTGATCTCAGCGATCTGGATTTCATCCATGGGGTCGTAGGTCACCAGAGGGCGGTTGGCCTGGAGGAAGATGAAGAATGTTTGGGAATAAGCAGTGGAGGCTCCTAGCCCAAGCAGCAGGGCAGGGCCAGATTAGGGGCTGCTCAGCTACCCAAGAGGCCTCTATCTGCTTCACCATCTCGCCCTACCAGAGGGGACCTGACCCAGTGGACCTGAGTCCAAGAGAGCGATGGGCTGGGGAGGAGAGGAAAGCCCTGGACAGGAGGCCAGTGACGCTAGACTGGATGGCTCTGCTGGCTGAGTCTGGGCAGAACGCAGGGGCCTGGGGGCCCTAGGGGATCCTCTATGCCCTGCCTGATGGCCCTGAGGGCTCCGCTGCCACCCCCTTTCTGCCACCCAACCTGCACCATCTTGCCTGGCCCCAGGCCCTGCAGTGCCCCCTGCCCCAACATCCCCCCTCCTCCCAGCCTCTGCCCCTTACCAAACTGTTGTGGATGGCCAGCTCCTGCTTGAGCAGTGCCAGTTCCTTCTCCAGGTTCTTGACCATTCGCTGCCAGGGAACACAGAGGGTGGAGAGGTGAACCCAGAGGTGACCACCCTGCTTCCTGCTAAAGCGCTGCGGTCTTAGCTTCTGGGCCATGCCCTCCCCACTGGTGATCTTCCCGGAAGGAAGAGTTTAGGGTCTGAGAGGAATTCAGCATCCCCCAGCCTTTGCCTCTCCCTCAGAAGAGAATCGGAACAGAGGCAGCGCAGGCCAAGGGTACTTGACTAAGCCAGGCCTGGGGACAAGTGCCTATAGTCCTGGCTACTTGGGAGGCAGAGGCAGGAGGACTGAGTTACAGTCCAGCCTGGGTAACACAGGAAGAGCCTGGTTCAAAATAAAAGATAAAAAGGGGTAGGGATAGAGCTCAATAGTAGAGCACCCCTGGGTCCAATCTCCAGTACTGAAAAAAGGAAAGCGGGGGAGAGAAGAGAAAGAGACAGACAACCCTTTCCCCAGGGGCTCCAGGCCCCTAAGGGCTCTAGAGTACTTTTTGTTTGTTTGTTTTGAGACAGAGTCTCCATAAGTTGCCCAGACTGGCCTTAAATTCTTGATCCTTCCACCTCAGCCTCCCAAGGAGCTGGGAGTATAGGCGTGTGCCACCTACTCTAGGATGCTTTCTTTGTACAGTCCTTAACCTCATCCTTTCCTCCATGTATTTGTTAGCATTCTCCAGTAATGATTGCATGTGTCACCTCTGACTTTTTTTTTGGTACCGGGGATCAAACTCAGGATCTTGTGCTTATGAAGCAGGCGGTGCAACCACCTGGCCCACCTCTGACTTTTTGCTGCTACGAACAGTGCCACAAGAACATCTTTTACTCACTTCTTCTTGTCTGTATAGATTTCTGTAGGGCACAGTGACCTGTGAGGCTTCGTGATTTGTCCCCATTACCCCCTCTCCAGCATGCTCCCTTGGCCTACTCTAGTCCCACTGATTGGTACACTCTTCCCCTGTAAGCCTGTCCCTTCTACCCAGGATGCTGTTGTACCCAGGACCCCCATTAGCACACCTTACTCCCAAACTCCCTTAAAGCCTTTGTTCAAAAGCTTCTAAATTAAGGGAGTGGTGGCGCACACCTGTAATCCCAGCACTTGGGAGGCTGAGGCAGGAGGAGCGCTGTGAGTTCGAGACCAGCCTGGGCTACGTAGTGAGTTCCAGGTCAGTCTCAACTAATAGTGAGACTGTCTCAAAAAACCAAAAAAAAAAGCTAAATTAAAACAGGGCCTGGTGGTACACTCCTGTAATCCCAGCACTCTGGGAGGCTGAGGCTAGACATCACAATTTAGTATATTAGTGAGACCCTGTCTAAAAATAAATGAGTAAATAAATAAATGGTATTATAAGAGAGTGGTGGCGCACACCTGTAATCCCAGCACTTGGGAGGCTGAGGCAGGAGGAGCGCTGTGAGTTCGAGACCAGCCTGGGCTACGTAGTGAGTTCCAGGTCAGTCTCAACTAATAGTGAGACTGTCTCAAAAAACCAAAAAAAAAAGCTAAATTAAAACAGGGCCTGGTGGTACACTCCTGTAATCCCAGCACTCTGGGAGGCTGAGGCTAGACATCACAATTTAGTATATTAGTGAGACCCTGTCTAAAAATAAATGAGTAAATAAATAAATGGGGGCTGGAGATGTGACTCAGTGTAAAGACCCTGAGTTCAGTCTCCAGTACAGGAGAAAAAAAAAAAAAAAAAAAAAAAAAAAAAGCTTCTAAATCACTCTATCTAAAATTGCAGTCCCCTCCCTACCTCTATATCACTATGTTTTAAAATCTCACTCTAATTTTTCCCTAGTATCTGTTACCTTCTAACATCCTCTAGATCAGGCCCATCTAACAGAACTTCCTGCAATGATGAAATGAATATCTATTTTGTCCAGTATGGTGGCCAGGAGCCAGATGTAGCTATCAAATACTCAAAATGTTGCTATTGTTGCTGAAGAAGTAAATTTTAATCTTAAGTAAGCCACATGCAGCCAAGCATGGTAGTATACACTTGCAATCCCAACTCTCTAGAGGCTGAGGCAGGACCACCATGAGTTCAAGACCAGCCTGGGCTACGTGGCAAGGCTCTGTCTCAAAAAAAAAAAAAATAGCAATTACTATATTGTTTTTTGGTCTTTCATTTTATTTATATACTTGTTTTGAGACAGGGCCTTGCCATGTAGTCCAGGCTTTAATTTACTATAGACCCTAGGCTGGCCTTAAACTCCTGGCAATCCTCCTGACTCAGCCTTCGCAGTGCTAGAATTATAGGCCTGTGCCATCCTTGGAAATCTGCCATGTCTGGATATCTTTTTGTTTGGTGATAGTAGGGTGAACCCTGGGCCTTGTGCATACTAAGCAAGTACTGTACCACTGAGCTAAGTTCCCAGCCCCTCTTTTTTTTTTGGTACTAGGGATGGAATTCAGGACCTTGTTCTTTGCAAGGCAGATGGCGGCACCACTGAGCTACATCCCTGGCCCCCCAGCCCATCTCTTGAGGTGACAGAAAGCCAACATACACAATAGACTCAGAGAGAGATTTGTGTTTCTGTCCACACAGCTACCTATCCCAGGTGCTTTGAAAAATGTCTGAGCCACGAGCCATGAGCCACAGCTTTAGGTTTGCCAGCACTGTTCTAGAGATACTCAGTGTCTTCCATCAAAAAAAGGAACCAGAGACTTCATACTGAGACCCTTCTGAACAACGAAGTGTCCTTTAGTTGCTATAAAACAGCCACTGGAGGGAACCCCTGACACCTAGATCCTGGGACTAGGGCCAAAGCTGTGTGCAGTCCACGCCCTGCTGGCCTGTCAGACCAAAGGTCTGCAACCCTCCACCCTGTCCACTGAGTCACCTAGCACCAAGGCTTTCCTGCAGCTGTGCCTCACATGGTGAGGGGTCACAAGCCCCAGGCCAAAGCTTGGGGATCAGTCCGATCAAAGACTAAAACTTGGAGCCGGTCATGGTGGCGCATGCCTGTAATCCCAGCACTCCGGAGGCTGAGGCAGGAGGATCACTGTGAGTTCGAGACCAGCCTGTGCTATATTGTGAGTTCCAGGTCAGTCTCAACTATATAGTGAGACCCTGTCTCAAAAAAACAAACAAACAAACAAAAAAAGACTAAAATTTGGCTCAGCCTCTTAGGAAGCTCAAGTAGGTCTCCTGGAGGAGTGGACTGGAGACCGGGCCATCCTCACCCTCTCACTCCCAGCTCTAGAAAGTATATTGTGCCCCAGGGCAGGGAATCCAACAGTCTTCAGGGCTCTCTAGCTGGGTGACTCTGACATCCAGGCCGTCAGAGGGCAACATGGGGAAATGGAGGGGGCACAGACTCCAGTTCACACCCAGTGAGTGTGGCAGCCACTTCCCCGGATGTCCGGCAGGTCGGTGTCATGGCCTGAAACAGAGCCACAGGTCCCTGGCAGGCAGCCTCTCTGGCTCCTTGAGTCAATCAGGCGCATTCATTCTCTGGCTAAAAAGATACCTTGGAAACACCACAGGCTCACATATCTTCGCTGGCTGCCAGGGTTTGCTCCATACATGTAATGAGGATCATTCAGAGTTCTGCCTCAGGCCCACACCAGGCTTCAGGGCCACCCTCACCTTGGGTACTTTCCTCAGCCCACAGGCCTGCTTTGTCCTGGCAGAGCGGGGCACCCTGAGCCACAGCTGCTGTCTGTACTCCTGAGGCTCAGAACCCTTCTAGCACCTCACGCATCACAGGCTGCAGATCACAAGGGTCGCAGGAAGTTAGCAGTCTGAGCCTTGTGTTCATCAATAAAGTCGCTGGGGCTCAGATGGTCTGAAAACTCACCACAGAGGCTGGAGGCAGAGGGCAGACCGGAGCCATCTCGCCCGCCAGCCTAGGGGATTCTGCAGCACCTCTGTCACCCCCTGAAAACAGGCATTGGCACTGAGATGGCGCTGCAGCGACCCAGGAATACCAGCCACAGACTAGGGAAGATGGCACCAACATAACTTCCCGTGTCTCTCCAGACCATGTGTTCATAAAGCAAAATGCTTGTCAGAAAGATGATAAACACATTCCATGCAGGTTAGGGAACAGAAATGACATTACAGTGCATGGAAGACCTTGGTGTTAGGTGCAGCGTCCTGTCGGCAAGGTTCACGCATGGTAATGTGACAGTCCTGAGCCAAGGGAACACAGCTGAAAGGTGAGAACAGATTCAAAGCGGGCATGGTGGCGCACGCTGGAATCCCGGCACCCGGGAGTTCACAGCCAGCCTGGACTGCACAGTGAGACCCTGTCCCAACAAGCCAAAACTAAGTAAATAAAGAGGCGCTCTGCTCTGCAGACAGGGTACTAGCTAGTATTTATTCAATACTTACTCCATGACAGCAATGTGCTCAGAGGTTTCTACATATGAAAACGTCCTTCACAAAACCCCCCTGAGGGTGGATGCTATTAATTTTCCAATTTATCGATAAAGAAATGAGTTCAATTTTGCCAAGGCTGCACAGTCAAGGAGCAGGCCCTTGAACCCAGTGCAGGGCTCTTCACCACCGTGCCAGTGGATCTCAAAGCAGGGCTCCCAGAGCGGCAGCTACAGCAGCTTCACCACCTGGGAACCAGTGGAGAACGCACACCCCCTGGCCACCCTAGACAGACAGAGTCAGGAACTCCGGGAACGGACCCTGGGGATGCTGATGCCGGCTCAAGTCTGCGAAGTGCTCTCAGCACCAGGCCCTCAAACCCTAGGTTGGTTGCACAGAGCTGTGCATCTGTGTTTTCCTTCAGGATTTCAGATCTGAAAAGTTTGGCTGTCTGTCGTGAGCTCAGGGCTCAGGAAGGAGGGTGGCTACAGGTTCGAGGCCAGCCTGGGCTACCTAGTGAGACCCTGTCTCAAAACAAAGCAAAACAAAATAAAACACAACACAGCACCAGTGAGCGTCGAGGAAATCTCATGGAAAAGCCTAGGGCTCAGAGTCCCTGGGCCCACAGGTAAAGTGGGCGTAGACAAACCCAGCCCTCCCAGCCACCTGTGGTGGCCCCTAAGGGTTGTCCCCTTCCCCAGAGGTAATACACCCACACAATCACCCCACAGAGCAGTGGCTGCCCACAGCCCCCGAGTACCTCGGCATCGTACTTTTCATTGATGGCAGGCTCAGTTGTGACCAGCTTCATCCTGCTGGCAAAGCGTAGTGAAGACAGCTGGAAAACAAACCGGATGTTAGGGGGCTCCCCACTCCAGGGACGCCCCAAGGGAAAGAGACCCTGGCAGCCGCTCCTGGGTCTTTAGCCTGCCTGTCAAACTGTTAGTTCAAGAGAGAGGCAGGACATGGACAGAAGGGCACTCACTGGTCCTCACCAGCACACTGTGAGGACCTGTACCAGGCTGTTTCTCCGTCCAAACCTGAGCCTCTCCACTTCTGGGCCTGTGATCCAGGTTCCCCCTTCCTCTACCTCTATCCTATCTACCTCCCTGCTTTCTACTTTTTCCAAGGCCCAGCTGAATGCGCTTCTGGCCGAAGCCCTCGCTCTCCACATGAAGGTCTCTGCCTCTCCAGGAGGTAGGCCTGCCCCCCATGGACTTCCTGCTTCTCTGGGTCTGGACCAGCGATATCCAACGGAAAGGTATGTGAACCATTCATGCAAGTCATATACATACATGTACATGTGTGGGTGCCTGTGCTACCAGGGACTGAACCCAGACTCTCACATATGCTAGGCAAGCACTTTGCCACTAAACTGCAACTCCACCTTTTTCTAAAATTTTAAATTTTGAGACAGTGTCTTTCTAAATTGTACATACTGGCCTCAAACTTGGGGTACCTCAGCCAGGATTATAAGGAGCCAGGATTATAAGCATGTACCACTGTGCCCACCTATGTATATGCAATTTAAATATTTTTTTTTGTTTTGGTACCAGGGATTGAACTCAAGACCTTGCACTTGCGAGGCAGGCAGCAAAACCACTGAGCTAAATCCTCAGCCCTGCAATTTTAAAATTTTAAACTTTTGAGCTGGGCGTGGTGGCGCACACCTGTAATCCCAGCACTCGGGAGGCTGAGGCAGGAGGACCGCTGTGAGTTCAAGACCAGCCTGGGCTACATAGTGAGTTCCAGGTCAGATGCAACTACATAGTGAGACCCTGTCTCAAAAATAAAAAATTAAAAAAAATAAAATTTTGTTTCTTCCTTCTTTTTTTTTTTTCCTGGTCCAGGGGATTGAATCCAGGGACACTCTACCAATGAGCTACAATCCCATCCCTCTTCTGAGACAGGGTCTTGCTAAACTTCCCAGGTTGGGGCTGGAGGTTTGGCTCAGTGGTTCCACTACCTGCCTCACAAGCACAAGGGCCTGAATTTGATCCCTGGTACCAAAAAATTAATTTATTAATTAATTAAAATTGCCCAGGTTGATTTCAAATGTGTGATCTTTCTGCTTCAGACTCCTCAATAGCTGCGATTATAGGCACATACTACCATATCCAACCTCTTTCTTTTTGCTCCCTCCCTCCCTCTTTTTTTTTTTCTTTCATTCTTTCTTATGTTTCCCAGGGTAGTCTGAAACTCTTGAATTCAAGTGATCCTCCAGCCTCAGCCTCCTAACTGCTTGTATTATAGCCACGTGCCACCATGCCTCACTTGAGTTTTAAATTTTCTAACAGATATATTATTACAATAGGTAAAAGAAGCAAGTAAAATAATCTTAATATATCTTATTTAAACATTAGCCCAATACTGTATGCCCAAAATATTATGATTTCAATATGTAATCAATATTCTAAAATAACTGAAATATCCTTTTGTATAGTTGGTCTTTGAAATCAGTATTTTAAATTGATTGATACAGTAAGGGCTACAGGTTTAGCTCAGTGGTTCTGCCCCCTGCAAGTACAAGGACCTGAGTTCGATCCCCAGTACCAAAATAAATTAATTAATTAATTAAACTGATAGAGTAGCTCAATTTGGCCCCACCATACTCACGCACACCTGCAATCCCAGCACTCAGAGGCTGAGGCAGAAGAATCACAAATTTGAGCCCAGCGTGGGCAATTAAGTGAGCCCCTGTCTCAAAATAAAACTGGGCTGGGGGTGTAGCTCACTGTAAACACCCAGCGTTCTATCCTCAGTCCTGGAAAAAATAATCCACTTAGATGCTCCCCTGCTGACTGCCCTGCTCTACTCTGGGAAGGGGGTGGGACAGGTAACCACTCAGGTGCTGGGGGCCCTGGCCGGCTGTGCTGCATGGGGTCTCCACAGGTGCTGGGGACGAAGCCCAGACCCAGCCCTCTCAGCTGAGCCACCATCCACGGAACAAGGGCCAAAGCCTCACTGTCACCACAGGGTGGCCCTGCTAGGCTTGTCCTCTGTACGCACTTCCCTGAGCGGCCCCACCTTGGCAGGGCTAGGCCAGGTCAGGGCGGGGCAGGTACGGACCCCACTCTCCTGCCTCCCTTCGGCAGAGCAGGCACATCTGGCCCACATCAGGGCCACAGGAGGCCTCAGCTTGCTCAGCCTGCAGCCTGTGAGGCGACACAAGCTGGATGGATGCCGGGCTGTGAGGCAGCCAGGCGCGTGCCTGGGGGACTGAGACAGACACAGAGAGAAGATGCAGGAGGGGCTGAGAGTGCTGCTGGCAGGACTGAGAGGGACCTCCTAGTGGTGTTTCTGCCACAGGGCCAGCGAGGGACAGGCCACGGCCAGGGTCGGCTGGGAGCTGATGGCGGGCAAGAGAGCGGGACAGTCAGTTCTCACCGCTCAGAGGTGAAGCCCTGAGGTGTGCGCCGTGCTGGCCTCTTCCCGGGACCGTCACTTGCTACTGGAGATATTTTCAGGACAGGTAAAACAGGACCCCTAGGAAAGGTGGGTCCCTGCACAGAGACAAGCTCCAGAATGGACCGTGGGTCTGCTAAGTCCACCAGGTGGTCCCCAGAAGATCCCCCAGAGCCACTCTGGAGGGGCAGCCAGTCAGGGACCGTTAAGCCTGGAGGCCCAGAGAGCGCAGCTGTTTGAGAGACCCCAGTGCCTCGCCCTGCACATTCACCTGTGAATGAGCCTCCTCTCCGGCAGGCTCCCCATCAGCAAGGGGCCCTGAGAGTGCCCCTGGGCACAGGGCAGGTGCTCAACATCTATCTGCTGAGACCGGGCTCAGAATGGCAGCCTGGGGCCTTTGAGGCATGCAAAGGCACGCCGGAACCATCATCCCTTGCACAGCCTGGGCCGGTGCGTTCCCACTCACCTGCACCCCCGGGGCCCAAACACGTGTGATTACAAAGAGCGAGCCATCCTCCGTTCCAGCTCCCAGTCGCAGGAAGTGGGTTCCTTGTCCCCAAGCTGGCCCTGCTTGCAGGTCCCCCCGCCCAGCCTCCCTCTTTCTTCCTTGGCACAAGTTGGGGCTTGGTGTTGGGTCCTGGCTTGAACCCCTGGGCAACTGTGGCTCCATCGCAGCCCTGGGTCTTTGGCATGCGCTGGCCCAGGAGGGGTTGTACTGCCCAGCGCTACGCACCGTCTCCTCCAGCTGGGCGGCTTCTCCGTAGATATTAGTCACCAGGACCATATTGCAGTTTCCCCCTGCGAAGCGAGACACAGAGGGGTGAATCTCCCAGGTTTTGCCAATACTCCCTTGGGCCCCTGGGGCTCTGCCAAGGGCTGAATGGCTAGATCCACATGCCGAGGCTGTACCCCAAAGTGCCCTCCAAACACCCCAAGAGAGTGCACTTAGAGCCACAGCCTCTCGAGGTCCCAGGTGAGGCCCCAAGGATGGGGTCACTGTCTTTCCACAAAACCAGACGGGCCTGTCCTGCTCTCCCTGTGGGGCACAGCCAGAGGCCTGTGGGCCAGGAAGGTGGCCCCTCTAGGAGCGCACCTCAACTTGCATTCCCAGCCTTTAGGATGGAGGGATGCGCATAACTGCTGTCCAAGCCACCCGTCTACACCGCTTCGCCCACCCGACAAACTCAGAGTCTAGAGGACTGGGGAAGAAAGGGAGGGACAGAAGCCACCCAGTGTCCCTAAAAGGGGAGCCAGGAAAGAGCAGCAGAAGAGGACAGTGCGGGGGTGTGGGCTGCGGTGTGGGAGGACCACGAAGGAGGGTGTGAGCCAGGGCTTTGCTCATGGTGTCACTAAGTCACTCAGCTAACATCCCGAAACCAGCCACTGTGGACAAGCCTGACACAAATGCTTGAGGACATGGGACGCTGCTCTGGGCAGGAGGCTGAAACACTAGGAGTGCCGGGTGTGGTGGTGCATACATGTCATCCCAGCACTCGGGAGGCTGAGGCAGGAGGATCACCACAAGTTTGAGGCCAGCCTGGACTACATAGTGAGTTCAGGGCCAGACTGAACTGCATAGTGAGACCCTGTCTATAAATGAATGAAGGGAGAACGTGATGCCATCGCTGGTCTTCTAGGCTGTGAAGGGTCCTGCAGGCTGGTTTAGGGACGGGAAAGAAAAGGTTTCCCAGCAGGGGTGAAAGTGGAAGGAAAGGCTCTTAGGAATGAACAGCACCCTGGTCCCAGATGCAAGAAGGGGGCTGGAGAAGTCTCTAGGGTGGGGCTCCATCCTCCTCGCTCCGGGGAGAGTGACTGCTCCCCAATGCCCGGCCTGGCCTGCCCCACACTGATCCTCCGCCAGGAACCACCGCCCTCGCCCTCACCCAGCGAGTCCTTCAGGGCGTGGGTGAGTTTGCACTGGCGGAAAGGGATGTGGTCCCGCTTCTGGTCCCCAAGGGCGATGATGGCCTGCTCCAGGAAGGACAGCGACTTGTTGATGTAGGTGGCTTCCTTCAGGATGCGGCCCTCAGACTGCAAATCAAAGGTCAGTTTTACCTGGGGCAGAGGGGAGCAGCAGCCCTCCTGATGTGGGTCTACTACACAGACTAACACTCTGGCCCAGGACCAGGGTCTCTTCCTGCAAGTCCTAGGGTCATGGGCTATGGTGGTTAACCACGGCAACACCAAGCCGGGCACATGCCTGTGATCCCAGTCCTCAGGAGGCTGAGGCAGGAGGATCACCAGGAGATCACAGCCGACACAGTGAGCTCAAGCCAGCCTGAACTACATACCGAGATCCTGTCTCAAAAACAAAGCAAAACAATGGTAACACTAAAACTCGGGAGGAACACTCATGTGAACACTTGTGTGAATGCTCACATGAATACAAATACTTCTGAGCACATTCATAGGAATCCTTAAAGATTCACACGAATATAAACACATGTGAGAACATGCAAGCAAGCTGAGCAAGCAATCCTGTGCCTGTTACACACACACACGCGCGCGCGCCCATGCTCACCTGAATCCCCTCTGGACACCTGTGCTGATACACACTTACACAAATATTTATTGGAAAGGAGGTCTTCATGCAAACACTGATATTTATGGACAGAGAAATGCCACACAGGCTGGAGTATTTACTTGCTAAGAATGTAGGAGGCATCATGTCACTGATGCACAGGGACATCCATAGGAGTGGAAGGTGCCCCCGAAGCGGCCCTCCCTGTCCCTCCAAAGCTGCCCGCTCCACTCTGCCCGCTCAGGGCCGCACTCTCCTTCGCCTGATGAGGGGCGGCTCCTCCCAAGCACCAGGTCGCACACGGGGCCATGGCCCAGCAAGGAGAAGCCTGCTCACCCCTGACTTCCCCAGCCTCTCAGAGCCTGCCAGGTCCACCAAGTTGATTTTAGAAGTGATGTACTTCTCATCCGATAAAGTCCGGGAGTGCGCCTAGGAAACGGGTGGGTGTTGGCACAGGGCGGAGCTTGGCTAGGTGGCAGCCCCCCACACCAGGTGGCACCGAGGCTCCACCCACCTCCATGTAGATGGTGAAGATACAGTGCGACCTGGACGAGTTTTTGTTCAGGGTGTGGGAGGCTATGATCCTGTTGGTTTCTCCCTGAAGAAGAGAAATGGATACAGCATTTTGAAAAATGAAAATAACAGAGCATTTGGATCATTTTTCCTAGGATCATTTAATTCATGAATGAATTTATTTCTGAGATACTGAGGATAGAACCCAGGGCCTTTGCACTGAGCTACATCCCCAGCACTTTCTTAGTTTTCATTTTCAGAAAGGGTCTTGTTAAATTGCCCAGAGTGCTGGGATTACAAGTGTGTCCCACCATGCCTGGGTGGCCTGGAATGTTTGATCCTCCTGCCTCAGCCTCTGGAGCTGGACTCACAGAAATGTGCCGCTCCATCCATTCTGTTTGCAATATTCAGGCAGTTAGGCTACTGCCAACATTATCAATTGTCCCATAATGGACAAGTTACCTAATTTTTCTAAAAAGTAGAAGGCTGATGTTTATAAGATATTAAGATATATTAAGATAATCTGGCATTTTGATTTTGTTTTTTTGAGACAGGATCTCACTACATAATTCAAGGTTGGCCTCAAAATTTAGAACCATCTTCCTGCCACAGCCTCCTGAGCACCAATAATTCATAAATTTTAAATGGCTTTAATTATAGTATATTATTATTGTTGTTCTATTTTATTATTAATTCCTGTGACTAATACTAACCAGGTCCTATACCCAACTGATAAATTAAACATTAACATGGGTATACGTATATAGGGTTCAGTTGTTTCAGGCATGTGCTGGGGATCTTCCAACATATTCCTCCTGGATAAGCGGGGGCCACTGTCCTTTTACAATGTAGGGCAAATAAGTAATTTGTATTTTTAAAGGGGCAGTAGGCCCTTGGCTTTAATTTACAGGTTGGACTCTATAACCGGAATACACTGAAAAGCAAATGTGGTAGAAATGCTGTTCAGGGAGAAACCGGTCCTTGTGGGGTGGACTCCTGTCTCCTAAGAGGCCTCACGGGATGCTGGGAACAAGCCCCAGAGCAGGGGTGGCTTTGTCCCTGGGGAGAGGGGCACCCCACTGAGGAGCAGGCTAATGGGTCCCCACAGTTACATCTCTAGTGCTGCTTTTGTTCTGTTTTGTACAAGTCCAGGGACAATTTCCAAGAGTGCGATGGTTCATTTCACCTTTATTCTTGCTTGTTTTGTTTTTTTGTTTTTGGTACCAGCATCAAACTCAGGACCTTGCATTTGTGAGGCAGGCGGCAGAACCAACTGAGCTAAATCCCTGGTGGTTTGCTTTTTCTGAGACAGGATCTCCCTTCAGGGCACAGGCTGACCTCGATCCCAGGCCATTACCTGCGCACTGTGCTGGCCCTGACCCATATCCGGAAGCTCTTGTCATCCTGACACAGGGCTCGCCCTGGGCTACGGTTGCTGCAGCTTTGCTCACTCCCTTCCCCTCCCCACAGGGAGCTTCCTTCCACTCACATCTGTCCTTGAGCCAGTGAAGCTCAGCAAGGACACAGTCCCAGAAGCCATCTGGCGTGAGGATTGCTGTTAACAAAGCACCCTCCAGTATGAAACCTGAGCTTCTCATTAGCATCCAGTGGGCACTGACTGTGCAGACCCTGGAGCTGGAGCCCAGTGCGCATGGTCCTGCTTCGCCAGACAACCTTCCGGGGCCAGCACAAGCGGTGTCCCCGCTTTTACAGATGAACACAAGGGGACGAGGATGAAACCTGGATTTCAGCCCAGGCCCCCTAATTCCAAGTCCTATACTTTTTATCCTATATTCTCAGACCTAAACTGGAAAGAGACTCCCATTTTCTGCAATAGGATGGCCTGAGTGTTCTGAGGTCCTCCCCGGCCCAAGAACAGCTGAAGTGAAAGGCAGAATGCTTATAGCTAACTTTTTAATGGATGCCCGAGATTGCAAGAAAGTAAAGGGGCCAGCTATTGTGGCACACTCCTGTGATTCCAGCACTGGGGGGGCTGAGGCAGGAGGGTTGCAGTGAGTTCAAGGGCAACCTGAGCTACACAGTGAGACGCTGTCTCAAATAAATAAATAAATACCCGCCGGGCATGGTGACACATGCCTGTAATCCTGGCACTCGGGAGGCTGAGACAGGAGGATCGCTATGAGTTCAAGACCAGCCTGTGCTACAATAGTGAGTTCCAGGTCAGTCTCAACTACATAGTGAGACCCTGTCTCAAAAATAAAATTAAAGGGGCTGAGGATGTGGCTCAGTGGTTCTGCCACCTGCCTCGCAAGCACAAGGTCCGGAGTTCGATGCCTAGTACTCTCCCCATCAAAAAAATAAAAAATTAAATTAAAAAAAAATAAATAAATAGTATCATGAACTGTTTGAACTTTCATTAGCTTTAAGGTTGATGTTACTCCCAAATTTTGCATATAACTAAACTTTCAAATCTGCTAACACACCCTGAATTGTTCCACTCTGGATTTTTAAGGCGTTAATTTCTTCTTGCAATTTTTTCCTAATACATCCTCAGATAAAATGGGAGTTTTTGGAGCTAGGTGCGGTGGTGCACACCTGTGATTCCAGAATTCTGAGGCAGGAGGATCACAAATTTGAGGCCAGCCTGGGTAACTTAGGGCGATCCGTCTTGCTAAGGCTGGGGATGCAGCTCAGTGTGAAGGCCCTGGGTTTAATCCTTAGGACCACGAATAATAATAACAAAATAGAATCAAGTAAATTTAAAAATTAAAAAGCTCTTCCAAATCAATCAATTGTGTATTTCTCTTTAACAATCAGATAGTCCTGGACACTCATCCTATTCTGGTGAGAATGTAAAATGGCATAGCTCCTTGGACGGTTTTCTGTAAGAGTTTAAGCACAGGACACAGCAAGTCCATTCCTGGGTGCCCACCCAAGAGGAACAAAAGCATATATAACACAAAGACTTGTATGCAAATATTCACAGCAGCATTATTCTTCTGTTTGGTTTTGTTGGGTTTTCTTTTTATTTTCTTCTCTCTCTCTCTCTCTCTCTCCATTTTTTGTCTGTTTGTTTGTTTTGTTGTTGAGACAGGGTCTCACTATGTAGTCCAGGCTGGCCTCAAACTTGGAACGATCCTCCTGCCTCAGCCTCCCAAATGCTGAGATTCCAGATGTGCACTGCCACCCCTGGCAGCAGCATTATTCATCATAGCCAAAGACTGGAAATAACTGAAATACCTTTCCAGTGGTGAATGGACAAACACAATATAGTACATCCATACAAGGGAAAACTATCTAGCAATAAAGAGAAAAGTAGTGCTGATGTATGCTACAAGCTGCAGACGGGCTAAGGGATTCAGTCACAAAAGCCCACGCATAGGAAATGTCCGCGAGACTGTGGTTCTCTTGGGGAGGGGGCAGGAAGTGACTGAAAATGGGCTGAGAAAACTCTTGGGGATAAAGCAGAATTGTGTGTGAGTGTGTGTGTGAGAGAGATACTGAACCCAGGCCCTCTGCACTGACCTCCATCCTCAGACCATTTTTTAAAAATGTTTATTTTGAGACAAAGTCTTGTTAAATCAACTAAGTTGCCCTGCCTGGGTTCAGACTTGTGATCCTCCTGCCTCAGCCTCCTAGAGTGCTGGGACTACAGGGATATTGCCATCATGCCCTGCTTGAAGTAGAGTTTCTAAAACGGAATCCTGCTGGGCCAGGGATTTAGCTCAGTGGTTCCACTGCCTGCCTCACAAGTGCAACAACTGGAGTTTGATCCCCAGTACCAAGAAAATAAATAAATAATGGAATCATGCTGATGGGTGTACAGTTCTGTATATTTACTAAAAATCAGTGAATTATATTCTTAAAACGGCAGATTTTATGGTATTTAAATGATCATAAAATTGCCTTTTGGGGCCGGAGATTTAGCTCAGTGGTTCCACCACCTGCTTCACAAGCACAAGGACCCGAGTTTGATCCCTGGTACCAAAAAAAAAAAAAAAAAAAAAAATTGCCTTTCAAAACAAGTCTGTCTTATCATTTAAATATCATAAAACCTATTGTCTAGGAAAGAAGACTGGAAGAAAATACACTAAAACATACATGTTTATTGCCTTAAGTAAAATAGTTTATGAGTGAAATTTTTTTGTTCATAGTTTTTTCAGGGCCATGATTTTTGGGGTTTCAGGGTTTTTTGTCTGTTTTCTTTTTTGGAAACAAGATCTCGCTATGTAGTTCAGGCTGGCCTTGAACTCTTGGTGATCCTCCTGCCTCAGCCTCCCAAGGGCTGGGATTACAGACATGCATCACCATCCATGCTGGTTTTTGGCTCTATCTAAGTTTAGTAAATGAGCACATTTCTTCATTCTGATGATCAAAGTAAGAGCCTAAAGAGGAAGGAGGGGAGGGAAAGGGATGCCAGGCCAGGCCAGGAAGCCTTTGACTCCATCATCTCACCTCAAAGAGGAGGCTGAAGGCATCCTCCTCCTGGCTGGTGAGGTGGACTGACAGGCCCTTGATGAAGATGCCCTGGGGGTTTTCTACAATGGTCATCGGTGTGACAGAGGGTCCCACGTAGGGTAGAGTGGACAGGAGATCAAACAGGCTCTCGTTGTAGATTTCCAGGTAGGAGACTCGCACGGTGATGGCGTGGGTGGGGCGCTCCTCGATCATCCTGAAGACCTAGGTGGGAGACGGATGGCAGTCACCACACAGGACTGAGCAGGCAACCAGTATTGGGGGCCTTTGGACCCCAGGGAGAACATCTGGAAGTGCGAGGTAAGTCTTGCTCTCTGGAACCTGCAATCTGGCTGGTATAATGCTCATCATCAACAATGATTATTTTTATTTAGTTCACTGGGTGATATTAATTATTATCTTATACATTTTTTTTTTTTGGCCTGGAACTCTCAGAGATCCTACTGCAGGCACTCACCACCATGCCCAGCTGACAGTATGAACATTAATTTCACCTTTTATTTTACTTTTTTTTTTGGTTTTTTGAGACAGGGTCTCACTATGTAGTTGGGACTCACCTGAACTCACTATGCAGCCCAGGCTGGTCTGCCTCAGCCTACCGAGTGCTGGGATTACTGGCGTGCGCCACCACACCTGGTGAGCCACAATTTAAAAAGTAAAATAGCCGGGCGTGGGCGCGCACGCCTGTAATCCCAGCACGGGGGAGGCTGAGGCAGCAGGATTGCTGTGAGTTCGAGACCAGCCTGGGCTACATAGTGAGTTCCAGGTCAGTCTCAACTACATAGTGAGACCCTATCTCAAAAAACCAAAATAAATAAATACATAAAATAAATTGTAGCTACTAGGTCTGGGGATTTATCTCAGTGGTTCCGCCACCTGCTTCACAAGCACAGGGCCTGGAGTTCAATCTCTGGTACTAAAAAAATAAAAAAAATAAAAAATAAATAAATTGTGGCTATAGAGCCACCTGCCTCGCAAGCACCAGGTCCCAAGTTCTAGTCCTAGTCCCCCCCCAAAAAATTGTGGTTACTAGAAAACTCAGTTTGGCATATATTACTTACTCGATGTTTCAGTTAGGTGGCATAGAGCTAAACTATTTCAAAGATGCTGAGATACTGAAGTTTTCACAGTGGGAAATTAAGGATTTTGCTTCAGAAACTAGAGCATGGAGGGTTGATGTACTAGAATGTTGTTCACTCTTCTCATAGAATAAGGCTGTCAAACTACAGATGCTTTCAGGGAAAGGCTGTTTGCCTCCTACCTCTAACCAGAGCGCTCACAGATTCTGGGTGAGAGACCCCTACGGAAGACTTTCTGCTGTCTCCAGTCACACTTCCCAGACCATGGGTGACACAGTCTGAGAACTCAAATCATGCCTGCTTTCTTGCCTTTGCTCTGTTATTATTTTTATTTACTTATTTTGCTGGACTGGGGTTAAACCCAGGTCCTTTGCACTGAGCTAATTAATTTTTAAAATTTTGAAACAGTGTCTTGCAAGGTCACTAAATTCCTCAGGCTCAGTTTGAATTTTTGACCCTCCTTCCTCAGCATCTCAGAGTGCTGGGAATACAGGCGTACTATACCATACCCATCTTGCTTTTGGTTTTTCAGAAGCTGTGGGGTGGAAGAAGCCAGAGCCAGCCTATATTCCACTCATTAAAATCAGGAAGGAACAAGATGAGGACTTCCAAATCCTTAATTTATAGGATTGCAGACCATAGAGCAACAGGAGGCCAATTAGCCTGTCTGCTTGCTTTTCCATAAATGAGGAAATGGCTTAGAGTGGGTGTGGGCTCATCTGCAGCCTGAACCCCTAGTTTCCTGAGGCCTCGTCCTACCCCACTGCCAGCCACAAGTCCTGTCTCGGGCACTGGTACCAGTCCTGACTGCAGCTCCTTTTCAGGCGGGACCCAAACAATGGGTCTGATGTGTACAACATAGGGGACATGTGTGGCTTCCCTCCCGTGGGCCCACTCTACCTGCTGCAGGGCGCGGGGCAGAATCCCCCGGTGCTTGTAATTCTCAGTTGCCCCTGTCATGGTATATGTCTTGCCGGCTCCCGTCTGCCCATAGCACATGATGGTGCCTGCAAACATTTCAAAACACATCTTGGTGACATCCAGGAAAATCATTCTAAGGACAGCTCTCCCAGCAGGCCTGGGCCAGCCAGGACCAGGGCGTGAAGGCTACCAGTGACATCAGGAATTCCACCATGGAGTATGGAGGGTAAGCAAGGGGACGGGGACAGGAAGAGTCAAGACATGCACATCTGCCCTGAATCAGCAGTCTACCCCTGCTCTCCTGTGTCTCAGACCAAGGGCAACCTGCTCCTAGGGCTTCTGAGAATAGGACTCTCTGGGCAGATGAGCTGGAAGGCAGAAGCATTAGACCCCAGCCCTTCTAGCACGGCTAGCAACTGCCTGGGTCTCAGGGCTGGCAGGAGGCGTCAACCTGCCCACACAGGCACGAGGGCTTTACAGTCTGGTAGAGAGATGGGAATGGCGCTTCCTGCCATACCAAGAATGCTTTGTAGACTCCAAGTGCCCAGAGAACCAAGAAGGGCTCCTAGTGGGTCCCATGCCACTTCTGGAAATGGGCCACCATCTTTGGGACTGATTGGGCCACCCTGGGAGGCTTTCATTTGTTCTTCTGCTGTGCTTCTGGTCTACTGTCCCCAGCAGGCTCCAGGACACAAAGCACACGGTCACCCTTCCTCTTGGCCTGGAGCTGGACCCCGTCCTGAAAGTGCTTCCGGGTGTTGACAGAGCGGACCTGCCAGGGCAACCTGGGGCTGTGGAAATCAGGGTTTGCACACAGGTGCTCTCGTTCCTGGGATTCAGTGTGAGAGACGGAGCCAGGGACTGGCTATTAGTCCAAGGTAAGCAAGCAGGAAGGGTCACCTCCTCAGAGACTCCAAGCCCTTTGTGGTTGCACAGCATGAGGCCCATGACTCAAGCTCCTGGGCCATAGTTCCTCTGTCTCCACCTCTGGGGCCATGCATCCTCTGGGTGTCATGAACTCCAATGGGATATCCACAGTCAGTGGGCCACACGTGTGTCCCACGCAGGATAAACACAGTGTTCGGGCAATCGCACTCAGCAGACTTTTAAAATAGAAAACCTAAACTTACAACACCGGGGCGGGGAAGGTAGCTTAGTTGTAAAGCACTTACTTTAGCATTTGCAGGGTCTTGGGTCTGATTCCAGTACCACAAACAAAAACCATAAAAACATCTTGCAAAACAAGAAACATTCTAGTCAGCAGCCACCAGATGGCAAAGGTAGACAAACTGTGACTTTTAAACACCACACACACACACACACATATTTTTTTGAGACAGTCTTGCTATGTAGTTGAGGCTGGCCTTGAACTCACACTAACCTCAAGCCTCCAGCCTCAGCCTCCAAACGGATAGGATTACAGGTGTGCACCACCATGGCTAGCTTGTATTTATTTTTAAGGTGTGCTTGGGATTTTGGGGGGATGGAACCCAGAGGTCATGCATGTGCTCTAACAACAAGCCACACCCCCAGCCCCATTTTTTAAGATTTTAAAGTAATCTTAGAATTTCCAAGCTCGTAAAACTTTCCCAATAAAGCATTTTTTCTGGGTATTATGGAATATACCTGTAATCCCAGAATCGCAGAGAATCATAAATTGGAGCCCAGCCTGGGCAACTTAACAACTTAGCAACTTTCTGTCTCAAAGGAAAAAAAATTAAAATTCAAAAAGGGCTGGGATGTGGCTCAGTGCACAGGCCCTGGATTCAATTCCCATGGCCACAAAAATAAAGAAACAAACATAATAAATACATAAATAAAGCTTTTTAGAATTTTTTTTTTTTTTTTTTTTTGGATACTAGGGATCAAACTCGGGCCCTTGTGCTTGTGAGGCAGGTGGTCGTACCACTGAGCTAAATCCCCAGCTGAAGCTTTTTAGAATCTTGTTAGGAAAAACACTGCTGAAGTTTTTAGTGACAGTGTAAATAATCCTATACTAGAATATGAACAGCACAGTGTGTGGCAGAATAAATGTAAATAGCCCCTTAGGTAGCTGAGAGAGAAATATTTGAATTTCATTAATGTTACCATGAAGACATATTTTCAAAACTAATATTTGAGAAATTTGAAACAAGCTAATAGTTGAATCCATGACCTATAAAAAGCCAGGTCTCTGTCTCTTTTTTTCCAGTACTGGCTGTTAAACCCAGGGTCTTGCACGTTAGGCAAGTGCTCTACTACTGATCTATACTCCTGGCCCTTTTTATTTTTATTTTTATTTTGAGACAGGGTCTCATTCAATTTTCCTCAACTGGAAAGTTTGTGATCCTCTTGCTTCATCTTCCTGTATAGCTGGAACTGAACCATGTGTCACCATACGTGGTCAAAGCCAGGGTCTTTTGATTATCCTAGGAAGGCAGGACCCAGGACACGGGATCAAGCTATGCTCACCGTGTCACCAAGAAGCAGTAAGATTTCTACCATAACAACATGGAGACAAATAAGCATACAAATGCTAGTGAGATTATACTTTATTTTATTCACCATAAATTACTTGTACTGTACCTCTTCCTCCAGGAAGGGCAACCTAGGCTCTTAGGAAAGACAACAGTTAATTAGCTAAATTACCATTGTAGCCATCCAGGGCCTGAGAAACCACATCCTTTGCGACTGTCTCATAAACCAAGTCCTGGGAGGCGTCATGGAGAACTCCATCCAGCCTGAAGGACCAGTCTGTCTGCTGGTTATTGACAACTCCTCTCCGAGTGTCTTTTTTCAAGTGAATATCAATGCTCTACAAATAAAGACAGAAGAAAAGTTACTTATTAGGAAAGTGGTAAAAAAAAGAAAAGAAAATCACTGACAGCTGGGAGTGGCTGCACACACACATAATCCTAGCAATTGGGAGGCGGAGGCAGGGGGGCTGCCAAGAGTTTTGAGGCTGGCCTGGGCCCCATAGTGAGTTCAAGGCCAGTCTGACTACAAAGTGAGACCCTGTCTCAAAATAACTAACTAAATAAATAAATAACTGAGAGCTGAAGCCTGAATTGGAGAAAATAGAGGAAGTGAGCTTTAGGTTGAACAGGGATTCTGCATATGTGCTGATATTCTGGATGAATTCCTTGGAATGGGAGGAAGAAGCTCCTGCAGGGAGGCCATACAACCCTGTGGCAGCAAAATCAGGTGCTTGGAGCATTTACACTTTCGCTGTTTGGTTCCAACTAATACATGGGGTCAGGTACATTTATCAGGCTTTTTGTTTATTCGCTGGGTTTTTGTGATGGTGGTTTTTGAGATGGGGGGTCTCACTATGTGGTTCAGGCTGCTCTTGAACTTTGCATCCTCTTGCCTCAGCCTCCTAAGTGCTGGGATTCCAGGTGTGCACCACCGCACTTGACTTCTAGCTCAAATCTTATCCTGGTTACTCTAATTCCTGAGCCAAGACCTGGCCACACAGAGTAAAATTTAGACTAAGTTTAGATCATTCACACACTAAATGCTCCATGCTTCTGTGTTCTCTGAAACCGTGTCATGCCGGGAACATGTCACAGGGCTGCATCTGAGCCTTGTTCTGACTGCTAGGGCCTCTGAGGCTTGAGCAGTTTGCCCTTAAAGTCTTCCTTTAAAGATGCCTCAAAGCTGGCCACAGTGGGCCTCTGGATGTCTGCTAATGAAAACCCCCCACGCTCACACTGCCCTACATCCGCCAAAGGGTTCTCAGGACAGTGGTGAGGGTGTAGAGCTGGAGAAATCTTTCCACTCCTCATGCTGGGTTTCCCCTATTGCTCGAGACAGCCTTACTGTCCCTGATGCCAGATTATAGAACAGATCTGACCACCAGGCAGTTTCAGCAACGTGAGCAAACGTAGGGGGAAAGCAGCTATTAACAATAAAATTACTCTTTGGCAACTAAAGATGAGGACTTCCCCATTAACAGCACTGGGAAGGTGTGATTTAGACTCGGACACTAGAGTCCATCTGAACTTTTAATCATTCTGCCTTGGTCCTGAAGTGGTTGTTTGGAAACAGTCAGACAGCAGTGACAAGGGACAGAGAAAGCAAGGCCCCAGCGGGGGTGAAGGCAGAAACGCTGCACTCACTTTGTTGTCACTGCCATATTTGATCATCTCATGAGCGAAGTCATCAGTGGGCTTGACGCGGACAAATGCATGAACCTTCTTCTTGGAGCCCATCCTAGCTGAAGGGAAGAGAGCAATGCAATTCTCAGTGGTTACCATCAAATAACAATGGGATGGAATCATCAAAAAGACCAGAAAAAGAGTGAGGTGCGGGGCATATTTTCCTGTCCCTCAGAGAGCCAGTCTTCCTCCTGGCTCCAGCTTCCAGTGCTCTCCCCAGAGGACCCTGGTTCAGAGAGCACTGAACAGCCAGGAATTTAGCTCCGTGCTTCTGCCGCCTGCCTCACAAGTGCAAGGTCCCAAGTTCGATCCCAGGTACCAAAACAAAACAAAACAAAACATAGAGAACAGTGAGCTTTCTGCTGTGTTGTTAGCTTAATTTTCCACCATTGACCCCAAAGAAACTGAAATAGCAAAAAAAAATCTTCCCTTTAGTAGTCTAATCTTGTTTCTAGAAATAGTCTGCATCTAAGATGAGTTCACTTATGCTTTGCCTCACGACATTATAACACACTTACTATGAAATAGTATATTAAAACTTTGAACCCAAGACCTCTGCATGGAGTTACGTGTCCCTAACCCTTTTATTATTTTTTGAGGCAGGGTCTCACTAAGTTGTCCAGGCTAGCCTCAAACTTGCAATCCTCTTGCCTCAGCCTCCCAGAGTGCTGGGATTACAGGCGTGTGCCACCATCCCTGGAAAAACTATCTTTCTTAACTTACCTTGCATCAGATGCAGCACCACCTTGTGTGCCACCAGCTGACTACCTGGATCAGATAAAGATGCCCTAGCCAGGGTAGTCTAGACCAGTCCATAATCAGTCTTCTCTCGTTCCAATGACAGAGAAATCAACAGTTCCCTATTTCCTCTCCCGCTCTTGAAAGGTAAGTACCCACCTTCTCATCAGTATGTTTGTCCTCCCTCATTTATACTATTGCGAATAATTACCATTTGTACAAGCGTAACAGAAGTTAAACATTTGATGTGGCTTTATGCAGTAGGATGGAATAGAATGCCCAGGACTTAAAAGCTTTCTAACAAACTTGTATCATGTTTAAATTTTTGAAGCTAATTTTTTTTTAAACGCTTTTTGAGACAGGGTCTTACTATGTAGTTCAGGCTGGGCTTGAACTCACTATGTGGCCCAGGCTGTCCTGAGTGCTCGGAGTATATGTGTTTAGCACCATACCCAGCTTTAAAACTAATTTTAAAGACCTTTATAATTAAAATTTTAAAAACTTCAAGTATAACAGCAGGTATAACAGGAAACTCTTTTAATTAGTAAATTATTTTGTTTTTTTGAAAGCACATTAAATCTAGGTTTGGTGGTATACACCTGTAATTCCAGCACTCTGGGAGGTTGAGGCAGGAGGATTACAAGTTTGAGCCAAGCCTGGGCAACTGTGTGAGTTAGGGAGACCCTAACTCAAAGGAAAAAATAAAAAAGGCTGGGTGTTTGCATTCTCTTTGCCTGCATGCACCTTAGGGTCGATAAAGACAAATGGTTGTATCAAACTACTCTACAGATGGAAAGGAGCGGACTGTCAGTGCAGCACTTCTCTGCAGATCATCTCATCTGGGAGCTGTGGCTGCCTCTTTGCTGTGTTCCTGGGTCTTACCAGTCAGCAGAGTTCCTCTCCTGCCTGGGTCTGAGCTGGCCAAGAGACCTCATCAAATTACGAGTCACTGTGTTACAGAAACAGGCTGCTTCTGAATGCCGAGGTGATTCAGTTCTCCTTCTGAAGTATGAATTCGCCCCCACACTAGAAAGGCAGCGTCTTGAGGGACAGGTCTCTTCCCAGCTTCCCTGCCTCCTTAAATTGGGTTGTTAACAGAGTGTGTGAACGCTGCAGCCCCCAGAGTAAATGTTTCCATAATTCACGTGTGCTAGTAAACTCCCAAGCCTTCTGATGGCTCTTTACATGCTTCACTTGCTGTGAGTTTCTTGGATCTGAATAGATTATTCTGTTCAATTAATATATACATACTGTACACACACACACACACGGTAGCTGGGGGGCTAAGTTCAGTGTAAAGACCCTGGGTTCAATCCCTACTATCACAAAAAAAGCACATTAAATAAATACTAGTAACATTTTACATGTAATTTTCTAAGAGAAGCTCAATGCTGTTACCTAACAAGAGTTATTCTAGATTTTTAAAATATCGATTTCCTTTCTCATTTCCAGACACAAGTTGAGGTGATTACTTGATTTCCTCTTACAATAATATTAATTATCATCAAGTGATGTTAAGTGTCCTTACAGAAGCCAGTTAAATAGAGACAGGTGTTGCTCTTTCAGTTTAGTTTCAATGATGTGGACAAAATAAAACCATGACCCCTTATAAGTCCTTCAGCTGTCAAATCAAGTAAGCAAACAAGGCACTTACATACTTGCCCATTGTAGAGTGTGTGTGCACGTCTTACATACCTCAAGACACTACTTCATGAAGTCTTCTTCCTATATACTATGGCATACAGCATCTGGAGTTTTTTATTTTTAGAAAATTAATCTAGCTAAGCATGGTGGTGTACATCTGTAATCCTAACACTTGGGAGGCTGAGGCAGGTGCCTTGCATTTGAGGCCAACTTGGGCTGGATACTGAGTCCAAGGACAGCCTAAGCTACATAAGTGAGACCCTGCCTCAAAAAACCAAAAAATAAAAATTTCTAAAAGACACTGGGGTAAGCAAAGACAATGTCTTATCCAATTTAAGCCCTAATATGTCTTGTCTGCAAAATTGAGCTCTAGAGGGCCAGGGGATTTAGCTCAGTGGTTTTGCTCCTGCCTTGCAAGTGCAAGGAACTGAGTTCGATCCCCAGTACAAAAAAACAAAAAAACAAAAAAAAAAAAAACAAAAACAAAAAAAAACCAAACCTGAGCTCTAGAAATAAAAAACTACGAACAGCTCAAACACAAGTCCCAAACTGAGGAAAATGAAGACAATGACTCATTTCCAACTTCATTTTGATTTCCTACCAGGAAGTTGAGGGAAAACGAAGCTGTGTTTTGACTCAAACCCTCACACCGAAACCACTTCCCACACCAGCAACAAGGGCCCATCCTCCAGCCCGGAAGTTCAGGTGCCTTCTGAAATGGACCCTGAAGAAGCAGCAAACTCTAGGAGCAGCCACTCGGGTCTCCCTCCCTGAAGCCCCTGCCTGCAAACTGCACAAGGATAGCACAAGCCAGATCAGAGGATGCCCCTTCTTTGTCCTGAAATTGCCAACATGCGCATACAATCACCCAATCTGTGCTTCCCAAGGCCCTCTTCATGCTCACGCCATGGCTTCAAGCAGGCCAGGAGCTATACCCACATGCAATAAGCCTTTCCTATGAACTATTACTTAGCAGCCCCTCGACACCCTGACATTTGGGGAACCCATGCCATTTTACACTTACTGAAATACTGCTTGTTACCATTTTTATGCCGCTTCATTTGTGTGGGTTTCAGCTCCAAAACCCAAATTACTTGTGAGCTGCCTGAGGGCAAGCTCTGTGCCCCCCCACAATATCCAGAACAGTGCCTGGCACACAGTGGGTGTTCATGAAATGGTGGGTGGTGGTGATGGTCATGGCTGGAAGTCACAGGGTGGCTTTGTCTCCACATGTGCATCCATCTTCAATCACTACTGAGAGAATCCCAAGGGATGTGAGATGTCGCTCCCCTCCCAAACCACCTCCAACCCGAGCCCACAGCCCTTCTGGGAAGGCACTTGGTTTCAAAGTATAAAAAGCCATGTTCAGTTCCTCACTGCACCCTCCCTGTAGTAGTGCCCTCTTCCCAGGACGTTGTGAGGAATACCCCTCTCTTTTAGACACCATCCTTAACATTCTGTTATAAAGTGAGCAAGTGGCCATCAGGAGATCCCCATGCTGAGACTCTAGGAGTGGGAATGGGCAGTATGGCCTCCAAGCATCCCTGAAGGCTTGAGGCAAGAGTGTCTGGCGGGACTGTAGGCAACAGGCAGGTCCCTATCTTCCAGCGCTCTTGCCCAGACCAGGGACAGAGACAGCGGTGGCTGTAACCGCAGCATCTGAACCCAAAACGCAAGGTCTGACTGCACCTAGCCTTAGAATGAACACAAGCCTGGCATCCAGGCAAAAGTAGCCTTTCTCCTTTACCTCACCTAATGTGCGGGAGCTCTGAGTGTAGTGTGAGCGGCAGGGGGGCCCGAGCCCATTCCTGTCCCTCTGTGGAACGTTTTCCTCATCTGCAAAGTGATCTGGAATGATGACCCCAAAGCCCCTTCCAGTTCGAAAACTGACGAGTGAAAAAGAGTCCAGGTGACCTCTGGTACTCTGCCTCACACTGCCTGTGTCGTGGGCGTGACGTAGGACCCTGGATATTAGCTCGGAAAACCCCAAGTCACTGTCAGGCTGAAAGGGGCCTGGTGATGCCTTGCTCTCCCCTGCCTGAGTTTCAAAAATGAGTGAGCTAAGTCAGAAACTCCAGAGTAGAGAAGCGCTCTGACCCCAGGCACTGCCACCGGCCCGGACGCACACCCCAACAGGTCTCCCTTTGCCCTAACCCGGCTCGCGCGTGGCCCCTGCTCACCGCTTTCGAGGCAGCTGCCCTTTCCGAGCGCGACAGCTACAACTGCAGCAACCCAAGCTCTGCATGAGATCAGTGCACCCCAGGCTGGGCTGCCAGGCTGGGCTGCCAGGCTGTGTACAGTCGCCATGGCAACAGGCCGCTTCCGGGAACTACGGAAGTGTCTTGGAGTGTGGCGGAAATGAAATCAAAAGTCCTCCTTCGGTGATACGATTAAGGTCAAGGCCGAATCGGAAAAGGACAAGTGGGACCCATTAAGCTAGAAAGACCGCAGCAGGCGTATACATAGTCGAGGTCATGACAGCTGGGAAACGAAGGCTGTGGTTAAAACCAGGAAGCGGGGCAGCCGGGCTTCCGGCGTGGAGGCGTTGACGACTACGGCGGCCGCGCGAGTCCATGCAATTGCGGCTCCGCGCTGCCAGCTGCTGTAGGCGTGTGCCCTCGCTCCGCCTTGATTAGTGTGGAGCCGGCCGGTCAAGCCTGCGCAGTCGCGGCGGCCGGGGAAGATGGTGGAGGACGGTGTGGAGGAGCTTGAGGACCTGGTGCACTTCTCGGTGTCCGAGTTGCCTAGTCGCGGCTACGGCGTCATGGAGGAGATCCGACGGCAGGGCAAGCTGTGCGACGTGACGCTCAAGGTGCCGCGGGTTGGGCGGCGGCTGGTGATGGGAGAGGAGCCGAACCGGAAGAAAAGAGGGGCGGGGGACAGGGGCAGAGAGGACAGGGGGCGAGGGATGGGGTGAGAGGCTGGAGGGGACTGAGGGGAGAGAGAGGGGGATGGAGGCCAAGCTGGGAGAGGACAAGGGGCAGCCTTGCAGCCCTGGGCAGGGAGGGCGGGAGGTGAGACCCGCCAGGCCCTCAGAGTGGGCGACAAGGGCTGTTCGCCTCCTTGTTCTGCGCACAGACTAGAGATTTGCTCACAGTCCCCCTTGGGAGAAGGGGTGGGGACTGGTTCCACACGCGGGTGGGCTCCCTGAAGCACCTTCTCTTGGCACTTAGACTTCTGTGTGCCCCCAAAGTGACTGTTGTGCGGAGGCAGAGGCTGCTCCTCAGGAGTCATGCTTCCCCTGGATCTTACACTCGATCTGGAAATCTTTTCTCACACTGGAAGACTTTCATATCCCACCCCACCCCCAAAAAAGGTCCTGAGCTGATGGGCTGCTTGAGGACAGGGATGCCTTAACCAGCTGTACCTTACCAGCTTCCCAAAGCTACTGCCTGCCCTGGCCAACGCCCCCTAGCTGCTGCGGCTTTGCCGAGGCTCCTTGGGGGCTCCTGTGCTCCTCCTTTCAGGCCGGGAGTGCAGCTGGAGGATGGTCCCTGGATTATGACCGTCACTTGCTCTGAAGGCATAGTTCCTCCATGAACCACGTGATCCTAATCAAAGACATTTCTGATTTATTTACATCCCTGAAGAGGATTTATACTTAACCTCTGTAGAAGAGGCAGGAAAAGAGATGGGTGTGAAAAGATTTGCTCATAGCCTCTCTTCCCACAGTGAGGAAATGGTTGGAAAACTACATATGCTACGAATGGACATTTTTGTGATGTCACTATTCGTGTCCAGGACAAAATCTTTCGGGCACATAGGTGGTACTAGCAGCTTTCAGTGATTTCTTTCACACCAAGTTTGAAGGCCAAGCAGAGAACAAGAACAGGTCGGATATGCATCATGTTACAGTGACTAGCTTTATACATCTTTTAAAAATATGCTTATATAGTCACTCTATCGATTAATACAAAAAATATTGATGTTCTAGCTGCAGCCAGATATATGTAAATGTTTAGTGTTTAGTGTGCAGAATTCATGAAACCAAGTATTTTATGGAATGTGCCGTAGAGCCAGGCAGGTAAGAGTTTAGGTGCTGGGCAAGAAAATAATTCTAACTGCAGTTTTACTTCTCGAGATGGAAGCATTTCTCCATTATCTTCAGAGTGCAGTGTGGTGGAAAGAATTATTCCTGTCTGCTGAGAATCCCAGGGAAAACACAAAAGCTACATTGTTATGTCTCCTAAGAGTCCTGTAAAATGTAGCAGCACAAACAAGTTCTCAAGAGGTATTGAGTTTTTCAGCTTCCTACACAGAACACTGAAATCAACCAGTTGACTTTAGCTTTTCCTTTTGGAATGGATCAAAGAATTCAGCCTGAGAAAGTTAAACAGGTGGAAAATATCCAGACTTTAGAATTACCTGGCCCATCTGATATAGACAGAAGAATGACTATGTGACTTTTGAGAGTACAAAAACTGCCTTGCCACTTCATGCTGAAGATGATGTCCAAGTCAAAGCCCAAAGGTTAAGTGACAGAGGTTCTGGAGGAAGTGTCCCAGCCTGTCAGTGCATCTCTGAGTTCACTGAGTGATCAACAGACAGTACTGGGAAGTAAACAAGATCACGAGGACCTTCTGATTTGTTCAGTCTTCCGCTGTAGGCTCAGTAGATGCAGGTATTACTGAGGTGTTACCTGCACTTCAGTGCACCTGTAGCACTCATGCTCATGTGGATGATGATGATTGACTGGAAAATGTTCCGTATCCCTACCAACTCCACATTGCTCCTTCTACCGGCAGTACAGAATGACCAAGTCCAAACGGTCCGGATGGGCCTTTTCAGTATGCAACCATGGGGTGCGATTCATCCATATTCAGAAACTAGAACAGCACATGCAATGAAGAGTTAAAGCATTTCAGTATGACTGCTGCGGGAAAAAGTTCACCAGGGCTTACCCGTTAAAGCTGTATAACCTGAAGCATGAAGTGATTTCCTAGTAAGGGACTATTGAAACCAGGAGCAAGAAGAGACCTGTGTTCAGAATGATCTTAGAGAACACGTTTTGTTCTTTTCTTTTTTCAACTATGCTGACGTCCTTGGAATAGTTAACACAAAAGTGGCATGAACCAGGCCCAGAATGCCAACCAGCTATTTGTTGCTGTTCTCGAAGCAGTGTAACACATGCCCAGGTACAAGGCAACCTAGGCATCTGTCTACAGCTGGGGCGAGAATGTGGTTTTAAAAGCAACTGATCTGCTCAAATGCCTGTAATTTCACAGGTCTTCTTAACCTAGAATTGTGAAAGCACTTTCACCTTGGGATCTCTGGTGGGCTGGGAGAAAAGGAAGAAGTAGTGCCAAAGACCAGACATGATCACCCGAAATCAGAGCTACCTTCCGTAGCTATCAAGTCATTTTGTGGTTTGGCTTCCTAATTTTGGTTTTTGGAAAGTGCTTCTGCTTGGTCTAATACATTTAATTTTTTTAAGCAGGAAAGGATTTGGGAAAGAATCTCCCATTTCACTTTGTAAGCCTAGAACTGATGTTTTCTTTTTCTTAACTGAGAGACTGCCTATGTAAGGAAACAATGTGATGTTGAAATGAGAGAAATTATGAGACTTAGGAAACCAGCTGACTTAAAATATATAGGTACCTGGTTTTTTCTTTCATTATTAAAAGTAGGCTAACATCAACAGATCATTAGATAAAGAAGAAATCAGATGATTATTGACCATCCTGAGATGAAAGGGTACATGAGAAGCAAATTACTGAGCAGAATTTGACTAATGACCTGAGTAGATGTTTGCTCCTATATTTGGGACATGGCACAGCCTGTTGTTTTTGGAAGTATTTATGCTAAGTTTTCTTAAAAATTACTAAGTACTTCTGAAATCAAGTGTGCTTTTTTTTTTTTTAATCATTGTCATTTCTACTATGATTTTTTCTGGTGAAAATCTCGTCTTGGGTAGGCATTCCCTGTACCTTTAAAGTACCACTTCAAAGGCAGAGAACCATAACTGAGCAATCAGGCTATGGATAAAATGACCAGGAATGCAGAATAAAATAGGCAAATCCCAGCTTTTAGAAACTCTCTTGGGCCAGGGATTTAGCTCAGTGGTTCTGCCTGCTTCGAAAGTGCAAGGTCCCGAGTTTGATCCCTGGTATTAAAACAAAAAACAACAAAAAACAAACAAACAAAAAAGAACAACTCTCTTAATGCCCCTGTTCTGACTAAAACTGACATTCACCTGAAAGTTCTTTGAAAGTTAATGCCTGGCCAATGAGGTCACCACCCAAATTACTTTCTGCCTTGGCCCATCACCTGTATCTGCTTATGCACATACTGTTATACAACCATATGAGGAGAAAATATTGGAGATATTCTATAGTTTATGTATCATTTGAGATGCTTTTACCATGCAGTTTTAGGCATGTGTTGAGGCTTAAAAAGACAACCTCCCCCCGGCAAAATAGAACTATTCTGGGAGGGGGGTCTTTCTGCTTATACTTTCTACATGGTTCACAAAACCACTTCTTGCCTGTATTTGAATCAGACTGCTACAGATAGTAGAATAGGATGGTTAAGTGTCTGGCTTTGAAGACAGGAGGATTTGGATTAAAATCCTACTTGAAACCTTGAGCAAGTTACTTAATCTCTCTAAGCCTCAGTTTTCTAAATGTACAGATAGGGATGTTTACCTGGCATAACTTTTTCATCACCTTGAAGTCCCTCCTGAAGGAGATAGTTTTCCAGGAGAGGAGTAGACTGGGAAAAAGGACAAGATCTCCACAGATGGGAAGGGAAAATCAAGAGAACTAAGAAAAACAAGCTAGACCAAAGGAGGCAGAGGAAGTAGAAATGAATGAGAGATTTTTGTCCACAGTGATTGCATGGTAGAAGATGTCAAGGCCACTTGAGATTAGTAAGCAGAATGATTGCACTGTGGCAGTAACATTTGGTGTGAGAAGGGCGAAAGGAAATTGTAAGAGAGAATTTTTGGATTGAGGTTTAGGTTGTGAGAGTGGGTTTAGGAAGACTTATGAGACCCTGAGAAAAAGAGAGCGACAGGTGGGATGGTTCCAGATAACCTCTACATATAAAGTAGAACTAATGCCAATACCAAATATAGCAAATCTGTAGCAGAGAAATGCTTGAGTGATTTTTCCATTAAGAAGTTTTCTGTTCATTCACAG